ATCTCTAGGAGAGAGAGAGAGACAGCGTGAGCAGGGGAGGGTCAGAGAGAGAGGGAGTCACAGACTGAAACAGGCTCCAGGCTCTGAGCTGGCAGTCAGCACAGAGCCCGACGCGGGGCTCGAACCCACGAACCGCGAGATCATGACCCGAGCGAAAGTCGGACGCTTAACCAACTACGCCACCCGGGCGCCCCATTCAGCCTGGCTTTCTGAATCAGGAAGGCAGTCGTTGAACAAACAGGGTACCTGGTCATTGTCTCTCTCGTCCTGGGAGTCTGTTTCGATTACTCGCGTTCCTCTACCTGATTCAATCCCAAAGTCAGAAGAATCTACAGCATTTAATGAGGAGACCCGAGAACTGTTTTCTAATGCATAATTGATATGAACTATGATGATAACCAGAATAGCCTTTATTAGAAGTCTACTCAAAAATCCAAATGTCTTATGTTTGGTTTTCATTTATGAGTGGAAACAGCTCCAAGCTCCTGTAACCAAGAAAGCTTTCCCAGTGCGTCTGTTTCTAGCTCTGGCGTAACTAATGTCTTCTGAACCGTGTTATTTAAGTTAGTCATATGGGTTTCTATAAGTGGATGTAAGGTTGTTTTTTATTTTCAGTCGACACACAAGATGGATTTTAAGTCTTTCTGGGTTATCTCTACTTCCTCCATGTGTTAAAGAGGAAAGGAAGACACAGTTCCATGACGATCCACGTTACCCTTTGAAAATTGACAGTTAAGGCCCTTAAATGGGTCCTGCTTAAAAAAACAAAGTCACATCAATTTAAGTGATGTTGTTTTCTCACACGTGGAGCTTCTGTTACTGGTAATATTATTAACATCTAAAGAAAACCAGGTTAGCGCTTCTCATTCATTTGCTCAGTGAGCATTTAGGAGGCCTCAACTGCACGCTGAGCACCAGAGACAACCGAGCTGACGTCAGGCTGAGGGCGGCTCACAGGACACGGTAGGTGGGTAATGATCAGGGGAACCGCTGAGCAGAGCTGGGGTGGGGGGTGGGCAGAGAACGCGCAGGAGTGGGGAGGACACCACCCACACAGCGACCTGGCCCGGAAGCAGCTCTGGGGACAAGGTTATAGCCACACTATGGTTGTCAAGGTGAGCAGATCGAGGGGTCAAAAGATAAGGCTATAGGTGGGCAGCTCTGGGTCACAAGCTGTGCTAAAAAAAAAAAAAAAAGGTTTTAATATAGACTGAAGGCCACAAGATGGTCAACAATGTTTTAGTGGAAGAATTACATGATGGTATTTGCCTTCTAAGACTGTGAGCCCACGAGGGCAGTGACCTGATCTCTTGGCTTTGCCCATAAAACCGAGCACAGCAATGTAAAGCAAGAGGCATTTTTGGACAGAGCAGTATACTTTTAATAACCTCTGAAGCTAAGGACCACCCTTCACACGGGCTCCGTGTCTCATTAATTTCAGGGTCATGTAGGTTTGGTCTAGGAGATGGGAAGTCTCTCCGGGCTTTCGTGAAATGACAGCTACCAGGGTCGGATAATACCGCTGAGGCCTCCTGAAAAGCACTGTTAGGACCAAGGACAAATCAAATGTTTTGGGTTTAAGATAAACACATCTTCTGGAACTTTAAGGTGAAGATGAAAATACCAAGCAGGCAACTCTATCTTTGAAATGGACCCTTATGATTAATTCAGCCTAATGAGCGTGTGGGCGCAAAGCGAGAAGGGAATGTTAGAAAACCCCAAGCCTGCTGGGCTCCAGAAGACACAATTCACCATGGCAGCAGACCTATTAAGCAGGGAGACCACCCCAAGGCCCCCAAATATCAGCTATCCTGGTCATGTCCTTATACCACAAAGGAAACACATTATTTTTTGAAGTACTTAAAATTCTAAAACCAAGGCCCAAACATTCATGTTCGATTTGCTTTAGGTGAGGAGAAGATATGGCTCGTGTCCCAGAGGCCTTAGAATCTCTAAGCTGGCCGGAAGAGAGAACAGGCAGTAATTGGGACTTAGCTTCCTGGGAGGACAAGGAAGTACTGATAAGAAGAGGTGGTTAATTAACTAACATCTGAAGCTCTTCGAGGTGGTTTCAATGGTCTATTGGAGGAGGCCTGTTACAGCCCTTCTGTGAAGGAGCCAAACTCTGAGAAATCAAAGAGGCACTCCTGGGGAATGCCAGCACATACCTGTCCAAAGTTTTCTTCATCGATACAGAACATGAGGTCCAGTTCAGTAGGATCATTTTCCAAGATCCATTTCAAAGAGTTATAATATTCACTATCCTACAGAAATGACAGAGAAATTAAGTGTTCCTCCTCAAATACAAATACATTTGACTTGTTGAAATAAATGATTAAGTCCTTCTAACATGACTCCATTCAGAATGTTCAAGAATTCTATTAGTTGCTAATAGGTTTCCTGCTCTGCTCCAAACCTACTCTTTCCCTTTAATTTAAAATACAAACAAAAATGTTTTGGTAGTAACAAGGGATTGCAGTTGAATTCTGTCTTAAAGTGGAGAGGAAGCAACCCGCTCTGGGATGGCAGAAATAAGCTCATGAAGTTGAACATGTAGAGATCAATATACTGCCTATCTTTTTTTTTGTTTTTTTTTTTAAGTTTATTTATTTACTTTGAGAGAGAGGAAGTGCAAGCGAGGGAGGGGCAGAGAGAGAGGGAGAATCAGAAGCAGGCTCTGTACACTGTCAGCATGGAGCCCTATGTGGGGTTCGATTTCACCAATCGTGAGATCATGACCTAAGCTGAAAGCAAGGGTCGGCAGCTTAAGCAACTGAGCCAATATACTTCCTATCTTTTAAAGGTAAAAATATCAGAGGAAAAAAAGAAAGACAGAGAATGTTCCACTTAAACACTGACGGCTCGATACCCGTTCCTGTGCCTTGAAGGCTGCTCTGGTGTCAAAGCCAGAACACCAGACCCGAGGGCTTGGGCTCCATTCTCTGGGGCAGACCCAGGCTCAGAGAAGGCGAAAGGGAATGTGTGCCTCAATTGTCAACCAGTGGGATAAAATTTAGATTTTAAAAGAAATTTCTACATTCCTAACATTATACCATCATAAAAGCATAGTGCGTTAAGGTGAAGGCTGAAAAGAAATTTGCGGATGGTACTGCGGATAGGTGCAACTCGCCCATGGAAAAACCAGCTGAGGGGGTGTGCACGGCCGTGTCATCCTCTCCCTTCGCCCAGGGAGGATGAGCCAAACAGCGACTCCTGCTGGTAGATAATGAGAACATGGCTCATAGGCCCAACTACGGAAGAGACACGGTCACCACCACAGCAAGGCCAAGGGCACGCAGATGCTTTCTGATCCAGTGACAGAACGTGAAAGCAGAGCTGCAAATATCCACACTGGACACAGAGCCTCCTGATGGCCCCGAGAGTGTGCTGCACCCTGGCAAACTCCCACACGTTCGGAGCTCGGGGTGGGAGTGGGTAAACGTGAAGAAAAACAGAAGCAAGGGGATGTTAGAAGCGTGTCATTTTTGTTTTTACAGAAAATCCTTTCAAACCCTAAAATGGTCAGCCTATATAGAGGGCCTCTGCCTGTCATTGTCTAAGTGGCTTCATCCCCTCTCCTGTATCGGTCCCTGCCACATCAGGGGTGACAGTAAATGTTCTTCCCTTCGTCTACTTTTTGGTCTACGCCCCTGCCATTTTTTGAGATCAGAAAACAGAGGGACAGCGGATGAATCTCTACACGTTCACAGGAGCCGTTTTCAACGGAAAGCAAGAGTGCAGTGAGGTCCCTGATTTGGCTTTCATTTGGTCAAACCAGTTCTGGGTGAGTGAGAGCGCGGAGATTTGGGTCTATCCGCCTCAAGCACCATGATTCCAGGAAATGTGAACAATAGTTCACTTATCAGAAAAATTAGGGAGATCGATGAACTGCCTGAACAAGGTTCCCTGTTGTTCCTACTGAATGACAACACCCACAAAAGTGTCACAGCTGCTACAACCCAGTCTCAGCTACCGTAAGGCACGGTGGCCCTGCGAGTGACCTGTATTTACTCACCACAGATTCCATGTCATTCAGAGTTATCTGCTTTCCCAGCATCATTTTGTAAAATGGTCTAATGAAGAAACCTAAAATATGGTGGAGAACACGGGTTAGTTCCGAAGCTTTGATACTGCCCTGCATCAGAGCATGAAACACAAGATAAACCTGCCCTTGGGGTTGAAGGAGAGGCCAGGCCTGGCCTGGGGGGAGGTAGGGCTCAGGAAGGGGGGTGGTTACACTAGGAGAGATGGCATAGCAGGGAGGGATCAAAAGGCTTCCAGGAGAGGGAGAAAAAAAAAGGCTTCTTCAAGGCCAAGCAGGAGTGTGCAGGGCAAAGAGGCACAGGAACGGAGGACCCGCAGAGCACCGGGGGCGGGGCAGGGGATGACGCACAGGGCGTCCTGGGGAGGAGAGGCCAGAGAAGGCACTGGGAAGCGCACAGCCGGCAGGGGGTGCCGGAGAGTCGGGCTGCTGCCTGGGTGGATCGGGCGGCCTGGAAAAGGCACCTGAAGATCCCACCTGCACTGTGTGGGCAGTTCTGGGGAGAAAACCGGGAAGGGGGCAAGCGGGAAACGAGGGAGCCTGCTCAGAGGCTGTGCAGTCTTCCAGGGGGCCGGCGACGAAGGTCTAAGGTGATGACAGCGAGCAAGGCCCCACCTCACGGGGTCCCTTCTCCCCCTCCCCCTCCCCCCTGACCCCCTGGCCCATCTGATCCGCTGCCCGCCTCTGCGGCAGGTTCCCGCTCCTGCTGGAAACCAGCCCCAGGGTGTAGCGGGCTGACCTGCACGGTGCACGTGCTCTGCCCACAGGGGCACTGGCGGTCCGAGCACCCTTGCCTGTGGGCGCTCCGGCTCCCAATTCCTGAAGTTCACTGTTGGCCCTCTGCCGCAGTCTCCTCCACTCCCTTGCCCCTCCCGGTCACTCTCTCCACTTGAGCCCAGTGTCTAAGCACTTAAATCCTACCCCACCATGAGGTGTGGCACAGTCTGGTAAGGACTCCCTGGCCCTCCAAGCCAAGCCACCTTCTCCTTGGACTGCCCCTCCTGCTGTCCGCTATTGCCTGACTCTTCTGGTCCCCATCCGCCCCCACCCCCAAAGAAAGCAGAAGTTCACTGAGGTCAGGATCGTTGTCTTCTACTTTCTATATTTCTCCACAGCAACTAAGAATGTCTTTTCACTTGGCAGCAGAAGGTTAACTAAAACAACTCTAAGAAGGCAGAAGTAATCTACAGCATGACTCCAAGGTTGCTAATGAAAATATATTTATGCATACCGTATATATATATTCATATATTTTACATATACATAAATAATGAGTGCAGTTTCCTTCTAATCAGAAAAAAAATCTTTCCTTTCCCAACCAAGAATAAAATATGAACTAAGAGAACCAAAATCATCTACCAATAAAAATATATTACAGGAAAAAGTGCTGAGGGGACATCAATTATTTACTGGAATGTCTAAGGTTCCATAAACCCGATTAACACAATACTCCTGGAAATCTCATTTTGTACTGTAATTACAACCACCTCAAATCTTACTCTCTGCCTTCTATCCTCAACTGTTTCACACCCAAATTGCTCAGAAGTATTTCTGACTCTATTTCTTCACTGAAGATTTCTGTAATGCCCCCTTATGGGCACTACTGTTGAGATGACCAAATCCAAAAGAGGTCCCTACTATAAGCCTACAGACCCAGCCCAGGAGGGAGCCTGACTTGTAACTTTGAGAGTACCTTGAGATTCTCCCATGACTTATAGGCTCTAAATAATAATGAGATGATTCTGTGCAATCTGTTTTATTTATTTTTTTTTTCTGTGCAATCTGTTTTAGTGGTGATCCCAGGGTCAAGGTCTTCGCTGAGTTATATAGCATTGCTTTGAAATTGTTGACAATCTCTTCACATTCAAAAGTAATAATTTGGGGACAAATTGTACAAGAGCAGGATATTGGATGGATTAGATCGTTTTAATTAACTTTTCAATTAGCTTTTCCATCTGTCACCAAATCTACCTCTTGCTAAAAACAAAAAACAAACAAGAAAACCCAGAAGACAGCTGTTCTGGAAAACAGAAAATGTACAAATACAGAATGTTCCGTGTTTCGCAGTGTAAGTTTAAAAAAATTCTGTTTTAGCTGTATAGATACTATGTCTTCAGTGCTCAAATTAGGAGGACACCAGGGAAAAACACCTCTTTTATGGGCAAACCGTAAAAATAATTTACTGAATTACAGAGAATCAGTTTGCTTCAAATCGTGATGTGAAAGATCCCACGCCTAGATAAGGAGCCACAAACAGTAGTGTCCTATTTTGGTTACTTCGTGACATTTCAGTCACTTACCATCTAAGAGTTTCCCATGAAACACCGCCAGGCCGGCAACTCTTCCAATAAAAGTGAAATAAGACAAATGGTCTTCATTGCAGAGGCCTGAATTGGGATTGATCTGCAGTGTGTAGTTGTCCCTTTGGGGAGGGAGAGAGAGGAAAAGCGCAATCGTACTTTCAAAGAGGAAATCCGAGAATCTGAATTCTCCTTTACCCCCCAGCCCCCGTCGTCACACCTCCCCCCAGGAGGAGGCTTGCAAACATTCTCTACCCAACAGGAAGAGGCATAAGCTAGGAAGGAGAACATGTTTAGGTAGCCCCTTTGTGACCAATGATTGGGGTCCAAAAGGGGAGGGGCATGTGCCCTGTGTCAGTTACACCATTAGAAACTGTTGATATTTGACTATTTTTGCTCTAAAGAAATGTCAATTTCATATGCGTCCGCCAGATATCCTCGGAGGACAAGAGACACCATATAACAGAGTGGCTGTGTGTGGATTCCCAATGACATGAGTACTGTAGCTTGTCTCTGTGAGGAAGAGGATTGATTAATCCCTTTGAGAGGCTTCGGTTTGGGGACTAAAAATTTTTTGGTGGTACCTACTCTTGGTCTGGCCACCACTGCGCCCCGAAAGGCCGCCCAAAGGCACGGGGGGCCGCATTTCGCTGGCTCCGCAATGCAGACCTCAAAATGTTCCCATGTATCTACTCAACCTTCTTCGGTCTCAAAATCTGGAGGGTCAGTGGTTTTCAAACTGGGCTCCACAGCTTTCCTTGGGGTCTCCGTGGGAACGTGGATGAGAGGTAAGGGGCTCACCTCCCCATCCTGCCCTCCACTTCAATGGCCTCAGCAATTTCACATAGCGGCTTCCTCATGGGACTTGGAACAACAAGAAACAAACTGGGAAATTCTTGGCTACAGCAACCGAGGGGATCACTGGAACTGCCTTCCAAAAGAGCTCCCAAGAATAGAGCACCAGGTAGATGGTGTGGGAGAACTCAAGTCCCTTAGAGCACAGGCTGCCTCTCAGCAAGGTCTCAACTATTGCACTGGGGTCTTGCATTTGGCTTATGCCTTTGGAGACTCCACAGCCTGGGAAAGGAATGGCTGGCCTTGTAAGTCATTAGTGTTTCTGATTCCTGAAAAAGCAATTAAAATCTGCCTCAGTTTCTACGTTTGGCAAGGATGAAATCCTAACACAAGGGAGAAGCTGTTTCTTCCCTTACTGGGCCAGAACACGGTCCTCTGGATCCTGAAGAATGGGTCCTCAAAGTCTGCATAATTTGCCTCTGAGTGATAGAACTTCAGAAACCATTCTTGTTCATAACACGAGGAGTTTCTGAAATCTGACAATGACAGATTCTCCTAAATTAGCATAATGTTACAAACGAAAACTGCCTCTTGCTCCTTACCATAAGTAGCCAGCACATTTTCACTTTCAATGACATGAATCCACATGACAAGAGAACAATCATTTTTAGGTGTTCAGAGAGTATACTGTTGGACCGAGTAGAGTCAGAACCTGGTCTTGACTTATGGGGAGCAGGGGGAGGGACTGAAATCAGCAGTGTTAATTCATCTGAAATGACTGAGCCACACAGTTTTCCATTAAGTTTAAATTCATTGTAAATAAAACTGTTTCGGTGGTGGTGGTGGTAGTGGGGGGGACACACTCTGAGCACACTCCGCATACTTACGTCGCAGAGTACTCAAAAAGTCCATAGTAGGGGTTGAACATCTCTTTGGACAGTAGGAAGAACCACTCTCTGGCCACACCGCCGTAGTCGAGACCTTTCTCCGACTCGAACTCGATCCACAGTCTAGCTTTCAGGACATCTGGTCTTTTCACAGACATGATTCTCCGATAAGACTCTTCAAAGATGTTATTTCTGTGAAGTTTCATTTCAAACCTGTTTGGAATATCAGCCTACACGAAAGAAGGAAGCGAGCACGTAATCATACAGTAAATATACACCTTACTTTCTAAAAGAAAACAGTAACGACAATGAGTAGAAATGACAGCAGTCTTCAAGACACAAGCCTCGACGAAGGGCTCCAACGGAGACCCTCCCCTTTGTGGATTTTCTACACATAGACAGCAAGCCAGCTGTCAGACTGCAGCCAGCAACACACGAGGCACAACAGACTAAGCTGAGAAGGACAATCCTCTCCCTGCTTTACAAACAACCGTGGGGCGCTTCTTCGCCCCCTGGCAACTGAAATATGGCCGACTCTCGATATTACTTCTGTCGGAAAAAGCGGTTAGTCCAGGTAATCAAAACCCACAGAACGATCACAACCTGGTCGAGGTGAGAGCAAGCTCAGCTCTGGTAGGGCCTCCGGCTGGTGCCAGGGACCCAGCATGCCTACAAAGCTGATTTCCATTGCCGCGAGGAGTGGGACCTTGATTATCACGCCAAGTTCTGGGAAAGCACCCCAGACGTCATGGTTCATAAACATGAAAATAAAAAAGCGCTTGACTCAAGTTGTGAGTAACTGCTGCCTGGAAAAATAAGGGCCAGGGTGAGGCTTGCTAGGACAGTGGATGTGCAGGGGAGTTTCCCGGCAGGAGAGACCACGGTGGGAAGGGTCAGAGTGAGCCAGGCTAACATCCACGACGTCACCCCTGCCACCAGGGGAAATGTGGGTTCCTCACAAAGAAACACTGCAGTTTTAGGTGTAAACATCTGAGTCATTTCAAAGGCAAGTATCCAAGAGCTCCCTGAACCAGAACGTTGGAAGGGAGAACAGAACCCCACAGTGGGAGCCCCCCGAGGTGGAGGCTCTGTCTCGGGCCTCTTTGCGTCCCCAGTGCTTTGGCCACAGCGGAGGCCCAGGAAAGAGGCATCGACTGAGGGAAGAGAGCGGGCGAGACCACGGTGGAGCGCAGGCAGACAGCGGTGATAGGAGTTGTGGCCAAGACTCCCTTCTTCCCAAAGGGAGGAAGCCGGGAAATGGTTGCCTGGGCGGAACCCATGAAGGCGCAGATTGAGGAGAAAACAGGGAAAACCCGCACCAGAGAGGTGAAGTCGGAGAGGAAGACAGAAGACGCAATGTTGAAGAACTGGGGAAGATGTGTCAGTAGAAAATATAACTCTGTAATTTAAAACACTGCCTGTAAAAACTTCACAGGGTTTCCTAGTTTTTGTAAAAATCGTACAGGGCTTCCCAGTGAGAATTTTAATCTGAAAATTACATTTGGTCTGAATATGCCAAATATCATAGCTTAGTATTGTACATTATATCTATGTTACAATTAAAACTAGCTTTGAATCTGAAGGGAAGGATGGAAACAGTCTTCCAAGTAGGGTCTAGGTTTTATTATGATGACCGTAGGCAACTACACAGGCCTTCTCCAGGTTTTTCTGATTAGGTCCTGAATTATTTTATATCCCATAAAAATCAGCTCTATCTTTATGTATTACATAAGAAATTACCATTCAGGTGATTTGATATGTAATACTAAGTTAGTCTTCACTTACCATTTCTCTTAAAAAGAAAATTCAGATTGAAGATCCAGGTGGATCAAAGTGCAATGGAAAAAGGAAGGTAATATTTTTAGTAAACACATAAAGTTAACACACAAGTTGTTCTCACTGAAGTAACGTTGGTAACTTACAAACGACTAAAACAGCATTTCTGGGAGACATGTTTTTACTCACAGGTTTCTTTAATTTCTTCCTAAAGTAGTCATATTTCTGCTTAAATTCTCTGGAGTAAGGAACAGCCTGGAAGATAAATTTATAAATACAGATGATGTACATTGAAATTTTATGGATACTGAGCCAACATTCAGAGAATTTTATGAATCATAAACCTTAAAACTCTCACCCTCCATATTATCATTGAAATGTATATGTCTCCATAACACGTGGGGAAATTCTAGAAATGACTGACGCTAATCATCACTGAATGGGGGGCTTTCACCCCTGAAAACAACTGCATTGATATTCAAGAAATCAATTAGGGATACGCCCACATAAACAAAGGCACTGTCCACGTGACTTTTGCCTAAATGGGAGTCAGAGCGTAATTAAAAAAAAAAAATTTTTTTGCTGTATGTTTAGATAAAAGTTATTGGCTACGATTCTTTAACACAAAATCCCAAATGACCAGATAGAGGTCATTTTGAAAAAACTAATCATGCTTTTAAAAACCATGGGGAGGAAATAAAATGAGACGAAAGGCCAGTGAACTGATACTCTTAACATAGAATATAAAATCACGTAGACAGCATTCTGGAAAAGTCCTCAAGTTGGGAGTTAGAAGGTTTGCCTCATACTAGTTAGTGATCTTGGGCAGGGATTTCTTGAAATCTGGAATAGCTCCTCTCTGAAGCCGAGTGATGGTACCAAACGCGTTGGGTTCAATAACAGAGTTAGCTATCTTTACTCAAAAGTTCTGGAATCTCTTCTGGCAAAGTAATAATCTTCTAATGTAGTCATTTACATACTCTTCACGTGCTATGTTGTAAAGTAGCTTACAGTATCTGAGAGCCAGAGCTCTGACTTCAGGTTATTGAAAAGGCTTATAATATTTTTATGAAGGAGAAAAGATTGGCTTTTGCAGACACGTGGGTGTGACTGCGACAGCCTCGTACTTGGAAAGACCTGCTGCTTTTTAGCAAACAGTATGCATTTGGGCAAGAACAGTTCCGCTGATATTGTATTGGGCTAAGTTATTAAAACACACTGATCTTTAGTAGAGGATCTCCAGACTCCAAGCCTTACACCTTACACTTTCACAAAGAGAAGTGAGGAAGCGAAGCTTCCCTCCTTCATACTACTATAAGACACAATCACACAAACAGTAAGCCAAAACAAAAATAACCACTCTTATGGAAAACAATAATCATGTCTGTGCTCTGCTTTGTAGTCCGACAGCAATAAAGACGATGTATTTCTATATCCTAAGGACATTCTAAAGACAATTTATAGGACCTGTGGTCTGTTCTTAGTTTTTAAGCCATTCTTCATTTGATTTCCCATTGCACGCTAGGTTTGACCCCATATCCTATTTATCTGGGGCAGTGTTTATTTAACCTGATGAAATCACGTATGAATTCAGATTCTAGAAAAGGTAACAATTTTGTCAATAGCTGGACCACCACCAATCTGAGGAAAGGGTACAATGTCCTGAGATAAGCAAGTTTGCTCTATCAACACTACATCCCATCACAAACTAAGATTTTCTATATAGCCTGTTCATTCTTTGGTGGTTCCTTTGCTGATCCATTCAATGGGTATTTCTTGAGCACCTGCTCTGTGCCAGGCATTTTCAGGTGCTGGGGAAATAATGGCGCATCAACCTAAGAGTTCTTCCCCGTTCCATCCTGGAGCTTGCAAGCTACTGTGAGTAATAGGTGCTAAGAAAGAAATGAGTGCATAGAGGTAAATGCCGGGAGGAGACACCAAGAGAGAGTTCCTGGTAGGCTGTTTTATAGGAGTGGTCAGGGAGGGAAGCTCTGAGGAAGGGGTGTCTGGGCAGAGCCCAGAGTGGCAGGAGGGACTAAACCATGGCTTTGAGCAGCGAGTGCAAAGTCTTGGGAAATAAAGCGTCTGGCTGATGTTCTTAGCTGTGGCTAGCTGTGACACAGGGACACTAAGCTGAAAAAAGTTATGCCCTTTCATTTCCTCATGCTGGCCTTAGCAGAACGGACTTGTAAGGTAGATTCTAGCGCCCGCCAGCCTTCCAGTGTGATGTAACCTCCCGGCTGCGGAGTTTCTTCTCAGTTAATCAGAAGAAATGGACTAGATGAATTCTAAGCCTCTTCCATTTCCCAAAACCTGTGATTCCCAGCAGTTATGTGTTGATTTTTGCATCCCTCCTGGAAATGCTGAAGAAAGGCTTAACATAAAAGTTCAAGAGTTTTAAGTGAACGGGGGCGGGGGGAGTATTTCAAAACGTCGCCCCCAGCCTGTGCTCTCTACTTTCTTGTCAGACTTATAACCTGAGAGGTGCTGCCTACGCGTGGGTGGAAATAAAATGCGGAGGTATTTCTGGGCTTTCTTCTCCTGGGGAATGATGCAGGAAAGCTGAGAAATCATTACCCTCCTCCAATACTTATCTGTTCTCTCTAGAGATTGTTCTTATGAATAAGAAGTGGAATTTGCAGGTTTTTATACTCTCCTCCTGGCCAGATTCCAGCAATGTACCAGGACAAGGGCATCCATCCAGTGTGTGTAATTCTCTTTGAAGAGAATCACAGGTGTAGTACCCTTCTTGTACTGGATGGGCCGAATTATTTATTCTCTCTTGAAAACCTGGGATCTTCTTTTCTTACAATTTAACTCGTTAAAATAAGCCTATCTCAAAACTTAGAACGTCTGTTGATTAAAGCCCTTTGCTCTGTATTAAATATGTTTTCTGTTCTGAACAAAAATGAAAGCCTGACTTTTTATGGTGCTAAGTTGGTTCTCAGGGTTTTCCTGTCGTTCTAGTCCAGCTGGGGCCCGAGCTCCTTCCAGAAAAGGACTCGTGTCTGACACGGAGACACGGGCGAGGCCGGTATACTTGGAGTACACAGAGGTCCCACGTCTGACATTTTCTGGAATGAACGGCAACACAGTTAGCCTTCGGAGCTTCTGACAAATTGGGAGGGACGCGTCTTCCCTGCTGTCCTGAGGGGCCTGCCGGGAGTTTCAGGGCAGCTGATGATAAAGTTCTCGGAGAAGCACAAAGCGTCATACAAACATGAGACAGTGTTCGTAAGAGCAGCGAGCACGGACAGCACTTCGTCACAGCTTTCACTGGTGATGCTGGCAGCACAGAGGGCACACCGACTTACAGTAACGCTGCGCTGGACTGCCACAGACAAGGACCCCCCCCCAGCCCCTACTCCCCTAATCTGGATATTTTTAAAACTTGGGAAAAAGAGAAACTCTCGGCTCCAGATAAGCGTAAAGACTTAAAATTAAAGAAGTGGGCATTGGACTTGACTTGGGAGCTTGGGCTGGGGCTTTAATCCTCATACAGGGACACAGAAGCTGGCCTGCAGTCTGTTATGACCTGGGGAGTAAGAACAGAGTTCCCTGCTTCATACCTACGTCTGACACGGGGACAAGAAAGCGCTACCCACCAGCCCAGGAAAGTTGTAAGGAAGCTTACCTTCTGTCCAGGACCACAAACGAGAGGAAAACAAAAAGAAACAGACCTGTAATGAATTCATGGTCTACGCCTACACCAAAGTGGGTATGAAGTCCACAGTTACATGAACTGGGCCTGCATGATCCCAAGCTAAGAAGTTAACAGTAAATACAGGTCAGGACTTATAAATGCCTCATGGGGGGGAGGGGAAGATGAGCGCACACACACAAATGATACACTGAATTGCTTATAAACTGCACTAAACTACTACTGAGGAAAGGCTACACACATAACATTGTGGGAGATTTAGTGCCCCTATGGCTGGAGATAATAGAATCGTCTGAAAGAGGATATGATATAAGCATTTGAAGAATGAGGAGACAGCTAAGTATGAATAAAAAAATAAAAAATAAAAGAACATGATAGAATAACAATAACTGAAAAGACCAAGCACATTTAAAAGACCCAACAGAACGATGAGTGATTAAACAGTTACTGAAATAACAGACACAATGAAATGGGAAAGGGCAGATTATGAAAAGCTTAAAAAAGAATTAACTGGAAGACCTGAGCTCACAGTAGAGTCACAAGAGAGATGGAACACAGGAAAGCTAAGAGGTGAAGACAGAACATGAAAGGGGATCACATACCCAGGAGGGGTTACTGGTTCAGATAACCAGGAAGAACAGCAAGGATGGAGTGGTGCGTGAAGAAACAACTGCTGAGAATTTTCCAGAATGCAGGAAAGACACGGTTTCCATATTAAAAAATTACAGGGAGTCCGAAGCAGAATACGTATGAAGAAATCCATACTGAGGTTCACGACAGTAAAATGATACAACACCAAAGTCACAGAGGAAACGCAAAATCGCCAGAGGAAAGGAAGATTTACCCACCCAAACACAACTACATTGACAACGAGCTTCTCAACAGTTTACGGGGGCCAGAAGGACAAGAAAGAATATCTTCAAAATATCAGGAAAGGAATGGTTAACCAAAGGCTTCTTCCACCAAAGCTGAACTACCATTTAACAGTCAGATAAGCCCTCTCCCTCAGCCGAGAGTTTCCCGCTCTCAGACAATGTTGCTCAAACAGAGGCTCTCAAACTCAAGCAGGCACCACAGTCCCTGGAAAGGTTTGTGCGAATGTAGATTTTGCTGGGCTCCCCCGCTCCTCAGCCCCCGAAGTTGCTGCTTTTCAGAGCCTGAGTTGGGACTCCTAAATTTGCATTCCTAACAAGTTTCCACAGGATCCTGATGCTGCTGATCTGTAGACAAGACTGAAAACCAGGAGCCATATTTCATTCAGAAGAAAACCCGGAAATAGCAGGTCCAAGAACCACTGGTGGGCAAAGAAATTCGCTCACGTGTAAGTGAAGCAAACGAGTCCTAGCTGTTGAGGATAAAGGTAAAATGTTAACGACTATTTGTAAAGTTTCCAAATGTCACTGAATAGCGTAAAGTGAGTGGGAAGAATGGCATGAGAGTTCCTAAAGTCCCATCTTCCTCAGGAGGAGACTAGAGGGCGATTAGTTTTGACACGAAGCGCGTTGGTTAAACATTTTCATGTAAGTGCTAAAGGAACAGAAAATACAACTTCCAAGCAAGTATAGAAAGTGAAAGAAAACAAAGGGTACTTTATCAATGTAATAGAAGGTAAAAAAAAAAAAAAAAAAAGGAAAAACCAAACCAAACCAAAAACCCACAGCTAGTTAAAGAAGGGAAAAAGACATACCAGGCAGATACTAAGGAAGAGAAAGTCAATGTCACTGACAAAGCCATGCTTACCGTGGGCGATTCTGACACTCCTGTCTTGATTAGACAGAACAGCCAGGATAAAAAGCAGTGATGGAAATGGATAATCTGAACACCATACACTTGATCTAACGCACATATAAAGAACTCTATACCCGACAAAGACAGAATACACATTCTTTTCAAACAAAGAAAGAACATTTATTAAAAAAACAAAACAAAAGGCCAAGCTGCCAAGGAAGTTTCAGATATCTGGTAATCACTATTTCGCAGATAATATTCTCTGACCACAATGCAATAAAATTCGAAAGTTAGTAAGAAATGGATAGGCAAAAAACCCTTCCATACTCTTGGAAAATAAAACCACAGTCTAAATAGCTTATAAGTCAAGGAGAGAAAGAAATCATGGAAATTACCAAATATTCAGAACCGATGACAACTAGAGCCAGGTGTCTACACTAAGTGGATAATCACCTAAACACACATGCTCTTACTGAAAGAAGTACCTGCACTACTAACCAAAAGCATATGCAAGGCTCTTTTGTTAATAATAATAAAAGATCTTGCTTTGGGTCAAATCTACTTGGATTTATGATGCTACACAATATTCAATAGAAATCAGTAAGAACTGTGTCTGAGTGAAGGCGGATGATCAGTAAATGACAGAAATAATTTCAAAAGGCTTCAGTTATGTCAAAAGTCACTTGAAAACAGCATCGATTCTTGAACGTCTCGTTTCTCACGATGGAGAAGAGAAAATAGGACTCTAACACACCTTATTGTGAATGTGAAAATATCAAAAGGAAGCCATGGTGGTAAGGCAGGTGCTGAAGGTACATAGAAAGCAGCTGTTTTAACTCAGGGATGACTGGGCACTTGGCGTTACATGGCAGCAAAGCAGCTGGACAAAGCCAATAAAGAAATCAACAAACTAAGGGGATGTCAGGTATCAAGGTGGGTTTGCGTGATATTACCTTTTACGTTTAAACAGACTTACCTTTGTAATTCAAAACATAACTTGAACTGAATCAGATTAAAGCCACAAAAGCAGTATTTTAAACACGCCTACTGGCCTTTTAACTCAGCACTCAATACACTTCATTGCCTTTTGCTCCTCCGGTTTTTAACAGGTTTGCAATGCTTTGCTGTTCCCCTACGTTTGCTGTAATTTCAAATTATCTCCCCGCACATGGACCAATGATGTTGGTATATTCCCTGTGGACTGTGACCCATTCGACAGACTGCTCATGGGTGTTTGGTAGCAAGGGACAGTTACTGCTCAGGGACTGGGGGGTGGGGGGGGGTGTTCCTCGCTCTTCCTTATGAACACAGCGTGTGGCAGTATTTTAAAAGGGTGCTCTCTACCGAGCTTCCTCTCACACCCGGCGCATATGCAGGGACTGTGAGAGAAAGTCAGTGGGTCACCAGAGACCAAGGTTCTTAACTCTGCCAGTTCCAGAGGTTGGCTACAACCTCACCCAAACTTTTACAGACGTTTCATGCTGGAAGAGATTCACTGGCTGAATCTGCTGGCTTACATTTACCTCCCCCCTTGGCCCAAAGCAAGGACAAAATTCTACAAATACAGGGCTTGGCTTCATATAGAAGGGAAGAGAGGACATTTTGATTGTTATACTTTTAATCCACCTTTTTACAAAGGAGAAAAGAAAACGTTTAGTTGTGGTTACCATTAGCAAAGCACTTTCTTTTCCTTTATCATGAAAGCCATTTGAAGAGGCAAATGCAGACGTGCCCCACCCGGGAACTGCAGGGAGGAAGAGAGGGGGCACCTCTAACCTAGTCAACCACACCCAGCCCAGGGCACCAGGTAAGCAGTAATATACAAGAAATATGTGCTTAGGTGCAACCCAAGTATTATGCGGAGGAGTCAGAAGTTGAGGATACTGACCGGACCAGTAATGGCTGGATTCTGCAGTCTTGGGTCTTCCCACTGAGTAATTTTGCTATCTGAAAATGTAAAAAAAAAAAAAAAAAAAAAAAATCAGCATATTAGTTCAAATCTAGTCTACATCAAAACTGTTTTAAAAAGAACTATTTCTGGATTTTGCAAAAGCTATCCGATCTCTCATACTGGTCTGCCAAATAAATCACTTAGTGTTTCGGGTTAGAAGAGAATCACAGACTATGTGCCCCCCACATCCCCACATACTGTTTAGTTAAAAACACTCGATCAAAAAAAAGGCAAAACTAAAGCAAAACCATTTATTCACACAGTTTTCGGCAAGAAATCTGCCAAAATTTCAATTATAAACCCCTGTTCTTTCAAGGATTTATAATTTGATCTTGATTTTCCTTTAATTGAAAAAGGGGATACAAAGTCTTAGTCCCTCAAATGGCGAACACACACACAATTTTTCTCGTTTCAAATACTTTTTTGCTTATAGTGTTGAAAAACAGCTTTCAAGGAAGAATCCTACAAGGAACACATGAATAATCTGTGACACGTGTCACTCACATGCACACAAAAATCAAGGCATCTAAGGCAGTCCAAAAAAATGGGGATTAGATACAGCAGAGGAAGATTAGAGAGCAAGGTTTCCCTTTTGGCCAAGTTGGCGAGAGGAGTTGTCTTTCTTCTAAATGAGTCAATGTCACCAAGACTGTTCAATGCCGCCTATACAACTACTTCTGTGGTGTAGATGATAATGTGCACTAGCTGCCCTGAATCACTTGGGTTTTGTGACTGGGCATGATTCAAAAGATTTTAGGGATTACTGTGTATGTGTGTGTGTGTGTGGGGGGTGGGGGTGGCGAGGAGGCAGGGATGGACTCGAATGAAAGATACAGAGAGGGCAGACTAGGAGAAAATGGGTTCTCTCTCGAGTTTTAGGGACTCTAAGATGGTAAGAAAAAAAATTATTTATGAATATCGATTCTGCTTATTCTCTATGTTCTGTAAATAGCTAATAACTTGGTTTTAATGACCATACCAGGAAGTCTTCCAAATCTGGTATAATTATTTTAATAAAAGCAGAGGTAGAGTTTTAAAATGAAACTACCAAAGCACATGATTTTAGATTCCCTTCGGCAGAAAATTTCCTTAAAATGTTTCCATGAGTTTAAAGAACTTTGGTGGAAGCAAAAGGCATTTTGGGTCCCTAGCTCCTGAACAGAAGACTTTGGAAAGTCAAAGTTGCCATTGTGATGGAGAACAAGAGAAAAGAAACCCAAATAAACAGAACAGAGTGGAGTAATAGTTCCCTGGACCACAATCCCATCATCGTCATTGAAGTTGAAGCAGAAGTAAATCGATGACTGCCCACACATGGCATCTCCCAAATAGTCCGTCCAGACCTGAACTTCTGGCACCCACCTTTCCCAGCGACGTTGAATCCAACTCTACCAAAAACTGAACTCGTCGTCTTCCAGCACCACAAACCATTCCTGTGATGCTGTATTCCCGAATGCCAGTATCACAGCATTTGCTCCCCAAGCCCGCAGTGGCCCCATGCCCATCCTCCCTTGCCGTTCTCCCCTGGTGCTCCCGAAGCTCCCCCGTCTGAGAAAGCTGCTTTCTGGAGGGGGCCTCCTGTCCGTGGGCTGTTCCCTATGTTCCCTCCCCTGGCTGCGGTCTCACTCATCCCTGTTCAAGACTTCCTCTGTGGTTCTGCCAGATGGATCTTTCTAAAGAACAAATGTGACCATTGCCACACCCCTCCAGAAAATCCCTCAGGACCTCCCCCTCCTGCCTGCAGAAGGGACCCACGTTCCCGTCTCTGGCAGGCACCTATGACCCCCGTGCCATGCTGGGCTCCTGTGCACATGGGCCATTTGCAACCAGAGCGCAGTTCTCTGGCCGTGGCACGGTCTGCACTACTTCATACACGGGCATGTTTCCCCTTCCTGGGGTCGCTCTCCATCTGGCTTTCCTGGATAAATCTTACTCATCATTTGGGATCCACCTGAAAAAGACTCTGGTCCTAAGCGGTCTTGCTGATGCCCCAGAGCCCTGGCGCTCAGCCACCTACCGAGCAGGTGTGGTTTTTGCTTCGGCATCTACAAAACTGGTTAATTCCTCTATATATCACTTTTGAAAATACCTCCTGGGACCCCCTACTAGAACATAAGTCCCTCAAGGACAGGGGCTGGGTGTTAACTCATCTTGGCAGCCCCCTCTGCACCACTGAACACACTTCCTGGAATGTGACAGGAGTCTCCTATTTTTTAAATGACTGAATGAAGCTGATGGTGAAAACAGATTCACTTCTAAAACAGTCTAAGGCTTCAGAAACATACAAGTTTCTATGTGCTTATAATAAAGATGGATTTCACAGCTAAGCATTGTCAATATGTGAATGTGTGGTGGCCATTTGCTCATTTCTTCTAAAACTCTTGAAGCTAAACTTGCTTTTGGTCCTCCAAATTGTAAAGGGACAAGAATGAAGGAGAAGAATGAAAACTCAGTTAATTTCGCTACGATTAATGGGTTTGGTAAAACTGCTGCCAGCAAAGATGAAGCCAGGAATGGACAGCCTCATTGGAATTTTCTTTTCTCTTCTAGCTTTGTCTCTAGACACCTTTGGCCACGGACTTAGCTGTTGGACATGCTTGGTCTTTAGGATCCCCGAGGGAGGGAGAGATTCAGCTCAAGATCTTCCTTAATCTTTTACTCCAGGCTTGAGACAGGAGCTATACATGCCCACACTTCATCTCTTCTGAAATTACCTCTTTAAGGTGGTTGAATATTTTTCATCTTGAAAATGTCTGACTTGTCAGGAGTTTTATGAAGCAGAAAATAAACCGCCTCATCATTTAAAAGATAAGTATACTGCGGTCTTGGGGCGCCTGGGTGGCTTAGTCGGTTAAGTGTCCGACTTTCGCTTAGGTCATGATCTTGCGGTTCATGGGTTCGAGCCCCGCATCGGGCTCTGTGCTGACTGCCAGCTCAGAGCCTGGAGCCTGTTTCAGTCTGTGACTCCCTCTCTCTCTGACCCTCCCCTGCTCATGCTGTCTCTCTCTCTCTCTCCTAGAAATAAATAAAAATATATAAAAAAAAAAAAAAGATAAGTATACTGCGGTCTTTGTCATTCACGTGCGATCACACGTCCTGGTCATCACGGGCACTAAGAGGGCTGTGACTCTCGCACACGCTGCTTGCACAGTATAGTACGATGCTACTCGCACGGATGGCCTGGTTCCTGTCCTGTACACAGGACAGCAAAACGAGGTGCTTCCTTGTTGGAAATCAGGTAGGAGAAAACTGCTTAGAAGGAGAGGCTTGTTTGGAAGGTGATACATTCCTAAACGGCAGCTCGGAGGTGATGAAATGCACTCTGGAGTGTACCTGCTGGCCTGAGCAAGCCGCTTAAAAAGGCAGGTGCTCTGCACTTTTCACGGACTGCATTTTGGTGAAAAAGCAGATGCATTTATTTTAATTGATACGCACCCCTTTAGAGCTAATGACCGAGCAAACCTTGACAAGCTGGGGACAAAAGGCAGAAATGTTGCATCCACGGCAACTGAGGTGATCCTAACTAGATCTACTTCTTACATGGTTTCTGCTTCCCTAATTTCCACTATTATCTGGCTTGGAGAACTTTTCCGTATGGCCGAGCCAAGGCAAATTTTCATCTCCAGGTAAGGCACCATGAGGAGCACCTCTTTTGGTAGCTCAGATCAGTCCTCGGTGCTAGGTCTACATTAATCCCCGGAGCAAAGAGAAGCCTCTTTGCTGTCTGTTCTGGCGAGACGAATGTGGAGTGAGGTTGCTGAGCGCTTGGAGGGGCGGGCGGACCCATTAGGAGGTAGGAACTGCCAAGGCATTTAGCAAAACTACCCTCTCCTGCCTCCCAGCAATGCCTTCACCACAGGCACTCCCTGAATTAACTGCACGTCACCATTTGCCAAGCGTCTACTATACAGTATGGTAGGAAGATGCACACCACTAGAAAAACAGTCTGTGATCTTTATTATTTCTAGCGTCCACGAGGATGGCCCTCTGTGATAACGCGTTCCTTTGGGAAGGGTTTGGGGGCCCTTGCATTAAGAGCGTTCATAAAATTCTTTTCAGGTTGATCTGAACTTCAGATCCCCAGCTAGAATGTGGCTACAAGGTTGTGTGAGATGTTCTGTGTGTAGCAGACAGAGGCTGTGTTACTGGTTAAGACCTTATTTTAAGAAAAAGATCGTTATTACTCGTACCTACCTTTGAAAATGGAAATTGAAATGCATAAAAAACTAAAATAGAGAAATGTTTTTTGGGTTTGGTGGGAAAAAGAGGTTTGCCCCCTTCCTTATTTTAAAAACTCATGTGATTAGTAGAATTACAAAGAGCATATTAGAGAAAAAAGCGAGGGTATACATATTTTAAAGCAGTTATGGTAGCAATTTTATGCTCACTGTAAAATTCTAGAAAGCAGGCAAACCCTGCATACTTTCACTGGTCAAAGACAAAATGAAGCCCATGTACACCTTGAAATACCGGATTTTAACCAAAGGGTTAAAAGGGTAGCCTGCCCCCTAACACATTAAGGACTTCCACTTTTGGAGTAACTGTGAGCCATGGGCTTCTCACTTAACTTATTCAGCTCCTTTGCCTGAAAGGGAAAGTGTCCAGTTCACTCAGTCATTCAGTAACCCCCCCACCCTCACCCCGCCGAAAAGGCACAAGATCGAGGAGTCCTCGTGGCCAGATTTCTCATCAGTGTAGTTTTGATTAGTTAAGAGAATGTGAGGCTGGAGAAACCTGGTGGAGACTTGGCAGTTTATGAACCAAATGAAAATAAAGATCAAAGTATGACCAAGTGCCCACACTTTTACATATAATCGAAAACTTCTTTTAAATGTCTATTTTTCAGAAGCTTTCAGGGATATATAAAAATATGCTCCTGTGGGGAACATATCACCTCAAAACAACAACAAAAAAACCAAAAAACCCACTGGCTAAAAGCAAAACCTTTATTAGTTTAACTTTTAGTTGAAATGAGAAACCACACATTTATTCATAGGGGCTGGAACAAATATACTACAATTTCAAGATACGAACTGTATATATATTAGTGTGTTGGGTGCAAAGAAACATGCTATGAATAGAAAATAAGTCAGAATGGGATTCTTGCCCTAAGACCTTTGAAAGCAGTGTTTAAGAAACTTACATGCTGCTTCAAGCACTGCTCACATGGATTTTGACTCAATCAGGGCTTCTAAGCTTATTTTCTATTGCTGGAGTGTATTTATTAAAAGCGCAGAAATCAAGGGGTTATACGCCCCCCAATTGTTTTTAATTAAAAAAAAAAGGTTAATATGCCACAAGATCAAATCAGGTGAAAGCCTGATGAGCTAGTTTAAAGCAAACTTAGATGAATGCACAGTACCGTACGAGGGCACTGAGTCTCTGGGATCATTCTCTCCACATAACACCTGGCTGCCTAGACAGAGTGAAATGACAAGCCTTTCACTATAATATGTGAATGACTCCCTACCCCACCCCCATCCCTTTACCTGCAATGCCTATGTGTCTATAAGAGTCAACTTACTATGGTCAATATAAAACGTTCGGCCATCCAAGTGAATTCTTTCTTCCCAACCAGGCTGGTATTAGGAGGGGGAGGGAAAGAGAGAGAGACAGAGAGACAGAGAGAGACAGAGAAAGAGAATTCAAACATTAGCTAACAGTTCCAAAAATCAATGGCTAAACTTAAACACTCTAGGACATATTTTTTATTCTTCTCTTATAGGGTGCATTTTTAGGTTATAAATAAGCTACAAGCATCAAGTTAACTCTTAACAACGTTCAGTGACACACTATCATGTGTTCACGAGTCTTAGAAGCCTTCACTCACTGTGTGATGGACCAGAAACAGCGGCTGCTATTTCAAAAGCTTCAAAGGAAACTTCAGCATTCCATGAACAGTTGAGTTTAGGATTGAATAAGCTCGTTTAATTAAATGAATATTTACTGAGGACTGAAGGGAGGAGGGAGGTTAATTTAAAAATGTCAGAGAGATATGCTTTAGCCCGGTCACCAGGCTGAATGCCCTAATACAGAGATTCTCTGCTGTGGGCTTTATTTGGACTCAGGAGCTAAATGGATTTGGGTCTTTTGTCCAAGGTAAGGCTGGTATGCCCTCAGTATTTGGGTTGTGCCTATTTGCTATCTGAAACTCAGGAATCCAACAGATCAGGACAACATGTTGCCTTTCACATCCTGTCTCTGGTACTCTCTGGGCTCTTTCCATCTAAACCCAGGAGCCAAACAGATTCAGAGAGTGAGGGATATTTGTATAAAGCCTGATGAATAAAGATTGATCCCTAACCTTTCTAGATTCAAGTTGTGCCATAAAATACCACACGCCAAACAACAGAAAGGTTCTTGTGTTTGGAAAATCACCATCAAAGAACTCCTAGCACCTCCATTCTAGAAGAGTCTTTCAAGTCTTTCCCTCCCACCCACCCCCCCTTCCCGCCCTTGTAAGGCCCTTTTTGATTTGGGGAGGGCTGAGACGGATGTATGGTGCAAGTTTCTTTCAAAATCCAATAGCCTCAACTCCAACTTGGGCCCCCAAAAAGAATAAACTGATAAAAAGTTAAATTTATAAATAATCCTCAATAAGGGAGAGAAACTCAAACTATATGCAGGCTAAATGACTTACAGAAATGGTCTGTGATTACTTAGGCATTTTTCTCCCATTGTCTTTAATATTTCCACCCCAGTGGCTAAATCAGCAATATGGATGATCTCAGTGGTTGCTAAGTTACGGAATAAATGTGTGCTGCTCAAACTGTCACGTGTAGACAATGCCCCTTACATCTTAGTTACAAGGTCTACTTTCTACTAGCAGCTAACAATTCAGAAACCTCTTTCCCAAGCACTGGGTATGAACTGTATGCACTATTAGAATCAGCCATTCACCCATTCCTGTTAAGAAATTACAGACCAACGGGACCCAAAAAGCCTGGACAAGGAGAAGGCCCATAGGATCCCTCCATCAACACAGGGCAGAGGAATAGATATACATTTTCACACTTGTCCACGCATCTCCAGTGTACTCACAGGAAGAGGGCCAAGGTCATTGGGGTTTAAAGAGGCCTTTGACCGCATATGTACTGGAAATTTCAGGCGTGGATCTTCCTGCAAAAAAAAAAAAAAAAAAAAAAAAAAGGAAAAGGCAGAAGACGTTATGAGTGGTTCTGTGTGTGCACTTACTGGTTTCTCCCCTTCTGGAGTTGTGTGTTCCAGCAAACCAGGCTGTGTGTGCCGGTCTGCACTCCTGCCTACATGGGGGAGGAAAGGATCTCTCTTTGTATAGGGAGGCTGGCTGACCAGCTTGCAAGGAAGATTTTACTCTTCTCCTGGTCCTTGGTGAAAGCAGGATGGTGAGAAAATTTAAATAAAAGGTTAAGCAGCATCCCGGAGATCTTGAGCAGGTGAAGAGGAAAGGCCCCGCAGTGATGTTACCATGGAAACCAGAACAGAGGGCGCCAGTGAAGACAAGGCTCTACTCTGGAGAAGGAATGGGCACAAGGGTTTGCAAATCTCTCTTGGGTCTCAAGCTCTGCGTGAGGGCGGCCAGCCTTTCCGACAGCGCCTGGGATTGCTGGTGCTCGCCCTTCCACTCCCTGATCTAGAGCGGAGCATCTGAATCTGGTCTGATGGTCAAGTCATGTTCTGCCCAGAGGTAGATGGCCACATCACAAAGTTTCGTATCCCTCCTAGAGAACTTTCCCGAGAGTCTGGATCAAGTTCTGCAAATGAGATTTTCATTTATGTCTTACTACTTAGAAGTCTGCCATAGATTCTTCCTAAGGGATATGGCTGATAAGATGCTACAAAGAGCCAATGAAAGAGAACTCTGAGCCCGGACATCTTGGGTCGTGCTTTCTAACTTGCAAAGACCAGGCAGATGGGTCATCCTGCAACTACCCTGTTGGGAGCTGGGCAGTGGACCTCTGCCGCCTCAGGTGAGGAGACTGAGGAAGACAATGAGCGCGTGCTGGAAGGCTCTGACCCAGCATCTGGGAGCTGCCTCTCACTTACACAGACCTGACGGAAATGCAATGGAGCGCTGAGAGTTCATATTTTAAACTCCAAAAATTAGAAAACAAATGATAAAAGTCAGAATAGCACATTGTCAACCAAATAAACCTGAGGTTTAAAAAGAAAACCACTTAATTTCAATTACTTTAGAGCCTTCGTTGCTGTCAAATGACTAAAAGGTTTTCTGCCTCAGCATTTTCCTAAGTCAACAAGGAAATGGAATAATTGATATAAACCTTGGAAAATAAAACTCACTTTGTGACTGCTAATGGGTATGACGATGTTCTGAAAACGATTATGGGGATGGTCGCACGTGTTGGTTCAATGATCTAAAAACCACTCGACTGTATATTTTAAACAGGTGAGCTGTAGGACATGTGAATTATACTTCTTGAAAGCTATTAAAAAAATGTCCCGGGGCGCCTGGGTGGCTTAGTCGGTTAAGCGTCCGACTTTCGCTCAGGTCATGATCTCGTGGTTCGTGGGTTCGAGCCCCGCGTCGGGCTCTGTGCTGACTGCCAGCTCGGAGCCTGGATTCTGTTTCAGTCTGTGACTCCCTCTCTCTCTGACCCTCCCCTGCTCACACTGTCTCTCTCTCTCTCTCCTAGAAAAAAATAAAAATTAAAAAAAAAAAATGTCCCAAGGCAACAATATAAACTGTTAGTACCACTGAATTATAACAAAGTGATAGGTTTTTTAAGTGACAAAATCTATAAAATAAAACTAAACAAAGACAAACTCCAAATCAAAAACTAAAAATCAACCTTTGCTTTCTGTTAACTACAGCACACTACTACGAACTGAAGAAGTCAGTAATGTTAGCAGTTTATGACGGATACGGACCCTGAACCTTATGGATATCCTTTTAAAAAAGGTAATTAGTGGCATGAAACAGGCCCAGGATTCTGTTGTGTCCTGGGACACATACAGGGCAATCCACTAAGATTTTGGATTTATAAGGTCTAAGAAACTGATAATTTGGTAAATATGTATGCTAGGCTGATTGTCGACAGAGGGAAAACTTGGAGCTCGAAGCTCTACAAGAGCTACCCACTCAGCGCTAGCTCACAGCCACAGGGGCCCCTGGGCCCCCGCCAGCCACGGACCATGCCAGCTTCCGGACACTGCGTGGAAGGCCAGCTGTGACTTGGAATCCCACACACCCACAGGCTACTGTGAAAGACAACTAGAAAAAGCTGGTGGTTTAAAGCGCACGCGCACGCGCGCACACACAAACATACACACACACAAACAGGGCTGAAATGATAGGAAAGTGCCAGGTGTTGGGGGTGAGAAGCATGAAGTATGAAACTCAGTTTCACAGGTCTGCTAACGTGGCCTTGCGTGGAAACCTAGACTTGGCACAATGGGAGGGTTAGAGGCCCCCGGGGTCACACCATCACAAGCCACGATGATGGCGGCACTCATCGCCTTCCACTGCACTCTGGGGGCTAAATCTAGGGGGCGCTACTGAGCCCACCCTCCCGGCGCGTCCCCTCAACAACGGAGGCAGGCGCGTGCCCTGAGGTGATGGAGCAGGTGACAGCAGCCAAGGCCTGGCAAGACTGTGACAACTTGAGGGATGACAACAAGCAGGGATACTAATGTTTCAAATGGTAGAAATAAAAGTGAAAATGAATGAACGAAATATGCAAACCCCACCAGGTCATTTCTCCTGGTCCTCAAGCAGTCAGGCATGTTCACTACTTCACAACTGCTTCCCTCAATACAGCTGAAGAGTTTTTAAACAGAAGGCAAAGATCAACATCTTAAAAAAAAAAAAATAAAAGGGGGGGGTGAGGGTTTCCTAGCAGAATTATTTAGACCCATATAAGATCTGGGCACGCAGTCCGGTTTGAAAAACAGCTGTGGTTTTTTCCTTCCTGGACGAGGCCAGCAACCATGACTAAGCTACACTGAGTGTTAGTAGTTGGGACCTGCAACTTCATGAAGGTATATCCTGGCTTGCTCTAAAAAGAAGCCAATGCTTTGTCCTGTGAAAGGCATAAACATACTCTTACATACATGCTTCTGGATGCTTCCTTAGCAGAAAGAACGAGCAATGTGAAGTCCCTCTTGTAATCTCCCCTCGGGCACTTGGTGGCCTCTGGCCTGCGTCCCTGGCCCGGCTGATCCAGGTGGGAACAGACTGCTGCCACTGGATCGGTCTGACTTCATCCCACACAAACCGCCAGCAGGCCGCCTGCATTACTTGTGTGTGCAGAAGGCTGTGTTTTATAAATAGACTTCAGAGGGAATCTTCCCCTATTGATGCCTCTAAGGGAAATGATGGCCCAATGGCCCCCATCTTTTCACGTTGCTGGTTAACGCAGGAACCGAGTGCACAACACACGCTGACGGGGGCCGAAGGGGTATTTTCATTTTTCTCAACCTGTTCTACCAGTTTCTCTTCCTGCTTCCATCATAAGGCTCACATTCTAAAAATAGGTGCGCTGTGCTCTTTAAAAACAAACAGAGCAAACCCCAAGCCAACTCCAAACAGATAGATTCTAAGCTGAAAATTATCTTTCCCCTTCCGTCCGTCTCTTATTGAAAGAAAGCGGCGGTGGAGAGTGGGGCTTCTGTGCAGACCATTCGTACAGGCCTCTGGAGGGGGAGACGCAGCTGGGTGCCGGGGTGTCTGAGTTCAGCGAGGAAGGGGAGTGGCTGGTGGAATTTCCAGCTGTTACCTTCAGGATTTTTGACAGCGACAGGAGTGACAAAATACTGTTTTAATGCATTAAAATTTTAAGTCCGCACCAACAGCCAACAACAAGTCTCTTGGGCCGAAAACGGGCAACTGGGAATTCAAACTGGGTTTTGTTCGGCAACGATGTGGGCAATAAATAAAGCCGAGTGCCGTTTAAGATGAAAGGTGTCCAGCTGCAGGCAGACTGTGGTTGCGGCGTGAGAGACCGTGAAAAGGTTAGGAGACCGGGCTGCTCAGCTCGTTGGAGAGACTCAAATGACTGCTTACGCCGGCAGGCTGCAGCGCTCCACACGCTAATCCATCTACTCCGATGATATTTACCCATTTCTGGCTGAGGGCAGGAAAGCACAGAGGTGCTGGAGGAGTCGATCACTAGCAGGGAAGCGGAAGGTTCTGTGTCCAGAGGGGTAAAGACCTAATAACCAATCTCTGCTGCTCTGTCTTCCAAAGAGCTGCCCATCTTTAATTCTCAATGTGCAGGTTATCTTCAGGCTCAAAAGCAAGTCAAACAAAGCAACGTGCTAGCAGATGCCTCAGAAGTAGTTGGGAGCCTGCTACGCATGTCGCCAGATCCAGATGACAGATCCCCCTGGAAGGCCACTCCTGTACCTCCAAAGAGGAAGAGTTTTTAGAGTGGTTCTCACTAAGGAGGGTTGGGAATGTGTGGGGCATTTCTGGCTACCCTCCCTGGTGGGAGGAGGGGGTGGAAGAATAGTGGCTGCCAGGCTTTTCAGTGGCAGGATCCACGGATGCTTGATGCCCTCCAATAAAAGGCCCAGTCCTGGGGCGCCTGGGTGGCTCAGCTGGTTGAGAGTCTGACTTCCGCTCAGGTCACGATCTCGTGGTTCGTGGGCTTGAGCCCCAGGTCGGGCTCTGTGCTGACGCCTCGGAGCCTGGAGCCTGCTTTGGATTTTGTCTCCCTCTCTCTCTGCCCCTCCCCTACTCACCTCTGTCTCTCTCTCTCTCTTTCTCATAAATAAGAATTAAAAAAGAAAAAAAAAAGAAAAGGCACGGTCCTGCCCCAAGTGCAGAGAAGGTCCTCGTGGAGACAGGCTGCATCACGACCCCCTGGATTTTAGAGGGTGAAGCCTCTTGGGACTAAGTTAACATACCCCACGGGTGGAGTGTGGTTGACAGTCCAGGCCACTTTGGTTCAGGCGTCTCTTAACACTATACTACCATTGTATCGACTGTGCACACGTGGGGTCTTCACTAGAAATGGGGACTTTAATGCGTGCGTTCACTGTTAGCCCAAGCTGACAACTACCCAACTCAACCAGCTTTCACACGACGTCAGTTCCAAGCACGGATGACAGAGGTCAGAGTGAAGCTCTGTAACCTGAGGATGAGAGAGGGACAGGGGCAGGAAGAGAGCAAACCTCCTGCAGCATCGGAAATAGAAACGGGAATACCAAGTTCGGTTTCGTCCTAGGTCCAGACATCACAGGGTAGAAACAAACCACTCCCTTCTAAAAGGACTACATGCTGGGTGAACTAAGACCTGCTAATTCGGCCGAGGAAATGAAGAGGCACGGGGAGACCTACACAAGCACCTCTGATTAATCCCATCGTGCACGTTAACACAACACATGGAGCCTCGCTCCTATGGGATTCAGGGCCACGTGGACGAGCAACACGATGAGAAAAATCAATTCTGACAAGAGGCTCGCGAGGAAGAGCCACCAGATTTACAACCCAACTCCTCACTCAGTGCATCTCTTCCCTCCAGTTAAGGGACAGAAATGTAGCACCGAAGTGCGAAACGCCTATTGGATGTGGACGGCACAAAGCAGAGGGACAGACCAAATGAAGATGATAATGTCCATGAAAATGCAAAAAAGAAAGCGATGAAGAAAAAGGAGTAACATGGTTGAAAAGAGGTTAGAATACCTGATACAGCAAGAGCGTCATGAGCAGTGAAGCCGTAACATCAATTTTCTGGTACTGGGGAGCACGGCCTTTTCCCCAAATACGGCAAATTGTCAGGCTCACTGGGATTTCTCTACGAGAGCTTCGGACAGCGAGTAAGGACACCCCGGAATCCCAGCGAGACCTCATGGGAAAAATGGAACCAAGTAAAAGCAGCAGCCTTACCCACGTCGTAGTCTTTGTGTTATGGTCAATGAAGAAGGGCCGGCCGTTTGGCGCTATCCTCATTTCCCAGCCGGGTGGCAGGAAGCTCTGTGTGACTTTGTGTTGTGGTTTAGGGGAGTTGTAAGGTGATGGCTGTGGGGACTGTGGATTGGAAAGAGTATCTTTCACAGCCCGACGTATGGGTGAGTCCTTGGCACCCTAAGGAATAATAATGAACATTAGAATTCGTACGAGCTAGTCCAGAGGGGTCAGAAGGAAACTGGGTATCAAGGAGCGCCCGTCTTTGGAGAGGTACAAGGGAGAAGCTCCTAAAATCTGTTTCTGTCATTCATTTACTTTAAACCGCTCTAACTTTCAAGTTTTTGTTGTTTTTGTTGATTAAACACACAATGATGTTAAGTACTTATAACTGAGATCCGTGGATAGCTATTCGGTGCACACCCAAAATACTAGTCTCTATTGAACATTACAGATGAAAAGGTTCCAGAGGCTGAAGAAAAACCTGCCCCTGCTCTGAATGAGCTCACAGTCTAATGTGGAATGTGTTGGCAATTTTCAGAGCACAGAAAAACCCGTACCAACGGAGACAGACACCTGGGTTTCCATGGCTGCTACCCATTGACACCCCATTTGGACGAGATCACATCCACTCCCAGTAACCAGCATCATAAACCCAGGGGACGGGCCCACAGCCGTCTCCAAGACATGGTCAAGTTCGGAGCTTGCAACATTTGCTCATCAGCTTCTCTCACTCTGATATTGGTGATGTTAAGGGATGGCCCCGAACCCACGCACACAGGAGAGAGCGCAAGCAGATGCCCAGCGATGATGGTTTACAGACGCAAATGTGCATCGGAAACACGTGTGCCCGTACAACGACAGGCCCTACAGTTGAAAGGAAAAACATGATCAAAGCAACAGCTGTGTTTTCAAATGCAACGTAAGCATTGGTATTTGAAAGAGTTATTATGCAGTCAAGAGTGAAACACAACAAGAATGGAGCAAGTTCGGAAGAGAGGCGCCCACTGCCAGCACGAGGGGCCATGGCGGCAGCCAAGTGAGAATGGGAATCGGGTGGGAGCCCCCGGATGTGGCCCAGGTGAAACACAGAAGCGTGAAGTAAGGCTGCATGAGAACACCCTGCACCACGAACACAACGGCTGATCAGAGAAAGGACAGGGGGCTGCAAAACTCAAATCCAAGGGGAGGCGAGAAGAGAGAATGAGAAGTCCCGGGGAGAGAGCGACCCGGTTAGATGAGGCAGCCTTCTCACCTCCAGTGGGGCAGATAAGGTTACAGTCGGCGAGCTGAGGCTACGGGGCCGGCGGATCTGAGGCTCGATTAGGTGGTTGTTACTGTTTGTGGCGGATCCGGACGCACCGTCTTCTGCGAGCTATTTTGGAGGCAAAAACAAGTTAGCTTCACAGGAGGATCCCCTGTGCATGTGACTGGAAGCACGGACCCAAACAACAACACAGCCAGCAATAATGAGAGGTCTGGCCTCTTCGAGTGTGGAGAAAACACTTACACATAATAATGGGGGCAGGGATGGGGAAACACATTCAAAGGAAATAGAAATGAATCACTAGCCCAGCCTAAAAACCAGCCCTGGAGCATAAAGGGGGCTGGGAGTGAAGTTATACTGTGATAGGCTCTTACTCTGAAAATATCTTTCACGTCACATCTTAAAACTGCATCTAGGGATGGACTGACTTGAGGACCGAATTCCTCCTCAGGCCAATATTACGCTTAGAGTAACGCGTTTTCTTTGGGAGAAAAATTTTCTCAGGCATGAGTTCTTTAGAACAATACATTCACATCGGGAACACTGAGCTCATGTACTCTGGCTTCTACCCTGCGATTTTAAGTTGTAGGACGATCTGCATACCTGCATGATAGGTCGAGTCCAAGTTGTGGTTCGATTGTTATGATTGACATAGTATGTGCGTCCCTTAGCATCCTTTCTTTCTTCCCAGCCTGAAGGTAGGCCCGGCGTGGTATGTGCATAGGCCACTGATGGCTGTTTGTGTAAGAAATCATTATTATTCAATATCTTGCATTTGCTTTCTGGTCAGTTTAATAAAGTAACATACACCCAGAGAATTACTTGTTCTAGACCAAGTAATTTAATTTGACCCAAACATTAGTGTCTGGAAAAAAGGCAACTGATATCCAAAGGCCTCAAATCCACTGTGAAAGGAACCCCACACAGCTCTGAGGTCCAAAATCTTACCTAAATCAGGCACAGAGCCCTGAAGACTTAAACGTAAAGGGTTGTTGCCAACATGATCACAAGAGAAACATACAATCTATTTCAGTTACGAAATTTTATTGTCAAACGTCAGGTTACCGAGAGGGATTGTCCTGAACATTTTTCCTCCCTACAGCTGCCACGGTGATCCTCTCCTAAGTCCTCAACTCTTCATCAGCTTAGAGCCCTTCCTCTATAGCGTTCAGGGGAAAGAATATAATCTCCTCTCTAGGAGGCCTGTATTCGCACCAAGGCATAGAATCGTGAGGACTGATCAGGACAGCAAGTTACCAGGCAATGTGAGGTGAGAATTCTAGAGGATCCCGAGAACCAAGGCAGTGTCTACTCCCGTCCTCCCCTACAGAGGGTCTCTCTTTAAAAGGAGGAAATGGGTGCCTGGGTGGCTTAGTCGGTTAAGTGTCCGATTCCTGGTTTCAGCTTAGGTCATGATCTCACGGTTCATGAGTTCAAGCCCCGGCCGGACTGTGTGCTGACAGAGCCTGTTTGGGATTCTCTCTTTCTCTCTCTCCTCCTCCTCTCTCTGCCCCTCCGCTGCTCATGCTGTCTCTGTCTCTCTCAAAAAAAAAAAGAAAAAAGAAAGAAACTTTAGAAGGGTGCATGAAGGACACATGGCTTCTGGGTTTGGAGACCTGATCAGCACAGAGTGACTGTATTTGGACAGTGCAGGTTAGACTGCAAGAGGATTCCTGAGACACTGTTGCGCGCAGGAAGCCGTCAGGGAAGCACACTCTAGGTGGAGAAGCTTCAGAACAACAAGGATGCCTCAGCGACTCATGGAGGCAAGGAGACGGATGTTTGAGGTAAGGCAGTCCTGCGTACGGAGGCTACAGAGATCTGGAACTGAGAAAGAGGCGCTACCCTGAGGGCAGGGGCTCAGAGACCACAAGCGCAATCACGGCTGCCAAGGCTCCTCGGGGAAGGTACGAGAAACGAGAGGCCAAACATCAGGAATAATCTCTTTCGTGAGGTGACAGAAGGAAGCTGCTTCTTTTTGGGAACTGTCTTCCCTAATTAGGATCCTGTGGCCTGCAGGTGTTTTACCAGGGGGATCCTGGGGTGAGGATCTCAATCTCTTAGCCCCCCTTCTCCGGGTGCGCATCCTGTCATTCACATCCACTACCAGCCCTGGGCCTTGGCAAAGAGGACTGTGAACTGAAATGCACACTCAGTGACACCGCCATGTAATTTGGGGACCTCAGTTAATGAGGCTCAATATTCCACTTCATAAGCTTGACAGCGCATTCCAGAGGAAAACTACCTGAGCCATGAAGCAGCTGCCTCAATGTGGATACCCAAAGCACATTTACCAAGCAAGGCAAGATTACGAATCTTACAAATGTAAGAGGACGTTCTGCTAAGTCTGGAGTAATTATTTTCCTAGGATTCTTCCAGATTAAGTCCTGAAGGCTCTAAAATGGTTAATTCCAAGACAGTGGCCACAAGGGTCCTGGATCTAGGTGTGGGCCACAACAAGAGAGAAAGGGCCATTAGCACACAGGCTCGATCCTTCCATGAGTATTAAAAGACAGATGAATTCACCTACAGCGTCGAGCTCTACCCCCACACCCCTTTCCGAGGCACTGATACAAAAGAGCTATTTCTAGGCTACTTTGTCCCCGGGCACTACCAAAATTGGACTGTGCTAAGTTAGAACCCACACCGTAACCTAAGTGGTCAATTTGTAATTTTTGGCCAAGTATGTGCCATCAATTTTGACCTACTGCTGCTTATGTGACGACCAAAAATGCTTGGGCAAAATGGAAGAGTAAATGGAATCAGCTGGTTTTCCTCCTCCCCACTGAGTTAATTTGTGGGAGAGAAAGTCAGATATGCACTCAGAAAGCTCTGTTCTGGAAATCATCAGGAAAGCATTAAAGTTAGAGTCCCTGGAAAGAATACTTAGGAGGAGACTCATAAAAGAACTCGGATGTGTCATGGCTAATCTCATAATCGAATTCTAAACTGCAGAACCTCCAGCACTAGGTTCCTTTCACAGATCCAGCTAAGGGGACTAATCGGTTTCTGGAAACTAAGAGTACAGTGCAGTAGAGAACACTGCATTTGATTAATATGTTCGTTTTACCTTCTATTGAGAACTGAATTGGTGACCTATAATCTAGTTCCATTTATGTGCAATGGTGCTATTAAATTCTTTCTTTATAGATTTCCTTCTAAATGACCATGGAGAAACAACTTGTGCCGACAAGTCCATTTGTGACTCACAGCGCTGCCCTCCCCACGCACAGAGCGGGAGGAGGGAGGACTTAGCTCCTCCAGACGGATCATGCAAGAGACCCATGCCTGGAGCCGAAATCAGACCTCTGCTGTCTGTGAGTGTGTGTGTGTTCACATGTGCACGCCATATGACCTCAAGAGACAAGTTAATTAATCAAGAGACAAGTTACAAACCGCTAGTCAGCTTAATTTAACAATTTCACAGCTTTGCATCTGGATATTTGTTTTGGCGTTGCCAGATAGCCAGTTAACTACAGCTTCCTAGAGGCTCCGTTTACTTCATTAAGATGAAGAACTCAATTATGTATGAACTGTAAAAGTTTCAGTATGCTTTTAAAGACGGCAAACAGTTTGGCACGATCATAGATTGGCCAGATTTGCTCCAACCCTGCTATACCGTTCTCTCAGTGTATTTTTAGATATGTTATATACAGAAAAGTCCACAAGGACTGTGCTATCTTTTCATCTCAGGGAGGGCTCCTGCTTGGCCAGTGGGAAAGGGACACCGGTGTGTATTATTTGTGCACATACACCAGTGTGTACTCACAGACCAAAGGGCTGTAGTGTCATAGGTGAGAATCAGGGCTTGCTCATCAAGGAGTTGGTTCATAAAAGCACTGCCATGGAAAAAGAGGTGTCAGGATGGTTCACATGACGTGGTGTGTTGTGCCCAAAGGGGTGGGGGAGGGGCTGAATGTTCACGAACGGGAAAAGTGCATAAACTGAGGTGCGTTTGTGTCAATGAATATTATGTAGTTGTTACCATGTCCCAGAGGAAGGACCGTAAGTGAAAAACATCAGGTCGCTAACTGATGTGTATAGGAGATCCCAGGTATGTGCGTGTGCGCGAGGCCGAAGATATAAAAGAGGGGGAAAAACGTGATAAGAGATGGAACTGGAAAAGATGCTTTCACACCTGTCTTGATTTCTAATAGTGCTCAAGTAAGCTGGCTTACTGTAGCCGGAAGATCACCGGGGGTAACGGAGGCGTGAGGGTAGGTACAACTTTTAGAAATGACTACTAGTCAGCCTTTAAAAATAAAAAAAAAAACAAAAACAAATCTGAACTCATATTCATTGCTGGACGAGGGGGAGGGCACAGGCAGGAAGAACACAGCAGTGGCAGGGGGCCACAGGACCTTGGTCAGATGGGTCACTGTGTCCCACCAGGTGCCTCTCTCCACGGAGCCCAGCACCCTCATAATCCAGTGAATGCTGTCACTTAATACCCTCAGCTCTCACGACACTCCAATACTCATGGCATATTCCAGGGCCCACAAAATGCAAAAATGGATGGTAGAGAATGCTCATTAGCCCTGGATTCTATTAAAATTATTTAACGAAAGGATTCTGTCCACCCTGCAGCTCTACTTCTGGTACAAATTACTAGGGTTCAGCAGGAGATATGCAAGTTCGTTTGGCATTTCTTCAATTCTGCTGGAGGTGGAGCCTGGCCCCCTAGCACATGACTTTCACGTACATCACCGTAGCTCACTACCTTCCCCTGGGCTTAGCTTTGCCGAAGGCCAATTTGATTTTCCTGTGTGCAGTGCTGAGCATTACATTCTAACAATATAACTAAATTGGTCCTTTAAGTCCACATCCTGCAGAAACCCAGCAATTGTAGATGTATTTAAAGGTATTCTCAAGTAATAAGCAGTTATAACAAACCTAATGAGGGTGATACAATGAGGAAAATTCTTCAAAGCTACAGGAGCTCAAAGCCTCAACTATAAGCTACTGCTGTCCCGGATCACGCAAAAGGAAAAAAAAAAAAAAAAAGGCAATTAAAATACATAGTCCTATTCAAGTTACCCATAAACATCAATACTAAAAATTTTTTAAAATAATGAATATGAGTAATACTTGGCTCAGAGAAACTACTTTTTTTTTCCTAGACCATTTGAATTTATTATATCCCCTTCTCACTCTCCCCCCAAATTATATTATGAATACTTGCTCACTCCTGTGAAATAGAGTCCCTTGTAGCAGAACAAGGTTCACGCTCACGATATAGAATATCTAACTCAGGGTTCAAAATCTGGTCCGGGAAGCAGACAGGAGAGGTTGGCCGTGAGCACAACCGGGAACCCACAGGGACAACGGCATGTAGTTTCTGTGGCTTCCTTATTCTCTTCCAACTAAATTATCTTACCCAGGCATTCTAACAAATCCGAAAAGCTGATCAGGAGTACACACAATCAAGACAGAGATACATTCTAGTATATGTGCTGCCAAAACGAGCATGGCAGAAATCCATTCTAAATGGTCAAATTAGGGGCGTCTGGGTGGCTCAGTCGGTGAAACGACCAACTTTGGCTCAGGTCATGATCTCACAGTTCGTGAGTTCAAACCCCATGTCCTGGGAGGACGAGCCTGCCTCAGATTCTGTGTCTCCCTCTCTCTCTGCCCCTACCCTGCTGGCACTCTGTCTCTCAAAAATAAACAAACATTAAAAAAATGTATTTATAAAATAAATAAATAAGTAAATGTCAAATTAAATGCACTTAGTTGAACCTTGAAAGCATTCCTAATAAAGTGGTATGGGACGAAAATCACTTCACCCAGTACCTCTGAACTACGTGAATTTCACATGTACAGCTCTGCAGCACAAAGAGGCTGATCTTATCCAAGAAAGAAAAAAAGGGTACATTCATCACTGGGCACAACATTAAAAACCAACCCACAGTTTTGTCATTAATGTCTGATCAAGGGTTATCATTACCATTGGCTCCTCACCACCTGTGACAGTTGATGACCGCGCTCTCCTAGCTGGGGCACTTGGCTGTTGAATGACAATTTACATCAGTGAAATGTACTTGGGGAGACCACCCATTGCTTACTGAATCAGCAATCACAGCTGATGCAGTCAGTCAGGCAGGTGACATGATTCTGAATCCCTGAAATCCACCCTGTTCAAATATGGCTGAGTAGCCACTCACTGATGACCAGAAGAAAAAGAAACCCGATGACCCCCCCACCCAGAGAAGGCGCCGTCCGCAGCCATGATTCCGGTAAACAATGAACCGACCGCTTCAGTAACGTGAGACGTATTATTCGAAAAAAAATTGAAAACCACTATGGTTTTGTCCTTACTGTTAAACAATTAGCAGATTCTTAAATCTGCCAAACTCTTTATTTCAACAAGAGGCCACTGGTGATCAGTGAGTTTACAGCTTTACAGGGTAAAGGCAAGAGGGAGGAATCAACAGTCGCTGGGAAAGTGAGATTTTCGGGCAAATAAAATTGGAATTGATTTTGGGAAGAAGAGAATGTGCCATTAATTCATCAAGGGAAATCACGGAATCATCAGATCGAGGAGGATCCCCTCCCCAAGGCTACCATGGCTGATCATTCTGGTTTTGGGGAAAGCCTGTACTAAAACCCTTCCAGAAAGGATGCTCTTGTCCAGCTTCTGGTCAACCAGCGTATTCTGTGCGCACCACAACTGAATCAGCCGTGTTGATTACTCAGTTACCCAGCGTACTCGAGAATTCATTCTGCCACCCAGGCAACAATATCCTTTGTAGTAAAAATGTACCCGACAGGGTAGATACTGTGATTGTAAAACCTCTAAGTACAATCTTTTTTCCCCTTTACTTTCACAGAAAAGTATTAGTGCCCAAAAAATAATCAAGGATCTGTATTACTAAAAAGAAAAAATAAATCAAACTGGATAAGGTCAAACAAGTTGAACATATTAAAGCCACAAAATATTTTCTAACGTATACATCAAACAACTCTTGAGGCAGTTCTCGTCTGCCTTCCAATCTGAGTATTCATTTTTATTTTTGTCCCATAGTGTTAAACATAGGACATTCTTCTGTATTTGCTGCTAGTTATAAACACTGCGGTAGAGTGGGGACAGATATGGCTATAAGTTCGGTAGTCAGGAAAGCTGCCTTTCCAGAGAAGGTACAGGGGCTTTGTGGGTTCAGAGTGTTGGTCATTAGTGATGGGGAAAAGCCACTTCCTGCAAACCCAGAAGAGTTCTTCCTGTTCAAAGGGATTCCTGTACCGTGGAGCACAGAGCTAAAGCTCAGTAAGTTTAAAAAAAAAAAAAAAAAAAAAAAGGAATTATTAAAGTATGTTTTTGATTAAGTAATAAGCACATCAGCATTGGTATTAATTTGGGTGGAAAAGCAAAGCAACAAAGTTTTCAGCATTTCAGAGACTAGCAGCTCTTTGTATTCGAAATCCACTCTTTGGGCAATTTGCTAGGAAATCGTAAGGTCTCGTTTATATAGACCTATATATAAATATAGGGTTTGCACAGGAAAAACTCTTCCTTGGGAGCCCGGATGATTTTAAAAACAAGCCCAAAGCACCAAGAGGCGGCTGGCAAGGGGCGTGGGTTACCGGTGGGAGGTGAGCAGGCTCGGCGACAGTGTCGGTCACGCTGCAGGACCGCAACCTCGAGGATGGTTCTCTCTGCTGAAGGGAGGAAAGGACATGAAGCACCATGAAAACACAGGCCCGGAAACCAGTTTCATTGGTTTAAAAAATACGTCAGTCAAGCCTATTGAGCGTTCTTTCGTATTAGAGGGGTAATTAAATGAGACACCATCGTTTCTGAGCCAGGAGAGTAATCCTTCGGGCAGTCGGGTGGGTAAGCCTGCATTTCCTTACGAGTGTTTCGAGCAGACAGAGATTCTGATCCGTCCTTAGTAAGAAGTAACAGCGAAAATAGGAAAAAGAGGCCAAAACAAGGTAGGGGACTCAAAGGCCGGTGTAACACTCTAGTGCTGCTTTAAGAAATGGCATGAGGGGCGCCTGGGTGGCTGAGTCGGTTAAGCGCCCGACTTTGGCTCAAGTCATGATCTCATGGCTTGTGGATTGGAGCCCCACATCGGGCTGTGTGGAGCCCACTTTGGATCCTCTGTCTCCTTCTCTCTCTGCCTCTACCCCGCTCATGCTTTCTCTCTCTCTCAAAAATAAACGTTTAAAGAAATGGCAACAGGAAGCTAGCAGTCTTGTATTTTGCGTTGGGATGCAACCTTGGGGTAAACTCCAGCATGATGTGAATAAAGGAAAACTACTGGTACACATGGTTCTTAAGCATTTATTAAATATTACTATTGACAAAGAATCAGTTGAAGTCTAAGTTCAACAAACTCAAATATGGTCCTGTGCTACTTCTGGAGGGTCAGTTATAAAATTTTAGCTTCTGAATGGAGTCGAAGTCATACAGAACAGGAATGAGGGAAAATAGTGAGGTTAATCAAAAACATCTGGTGTGTGATGTATAATGTTCCTCTCACTTGTTTGTACTCATCTATCGTTTTAGGAAAAAAGCCTGAGAGACTCAGTCAGAGAATGGCAGTAGGTCACACACACACAGAGGCCAAGTGTCTAATCAGCAGCAGATTTGTCCCTGGTATAAATATGTATGTAGCACCTACTCATTTTTAATACTATGCAATGACAAGCAAAATGGGGTTAAGGTCAAAGAAAGACTTGGGGACAGTTGATGAGGGCCTATTCATACCCTTCACAGTAGTTAGGCTAGCATCAGGGATTCCTTCTTTAGTAAAAGTTCATGCTACGGTCCTTGAATCTAGAGTGACCCTGAGGAGCAAAACTGAAGAAGAGTCTTGTATTCTGCTCTATCCAAGACATTCTTAATAGTTGAGTCAGACTCAACACCATCTTAAAATATTACTGACTCTTGCACTTGGATCTTCAAGATATTTTAGGCGCCTGAAGTGATTAAATGCAGGTGGTTCCTATACAAGGACCTGGAGATGCTAACTTAATACTCACGCTAAAGAAAACTAGGATTTGTTAGTTGGTCGACTACAGGTGTGCTACTGCTTTGGCTCTTGCACCGCTTACTACATTTCATAGGCTTTCGATATACAGCTTCATTGCTTATGTTGTTTCCACAGCAACAGTTTTACCAATTCAAACATCCCACATATAAAATTTTGTCCCTGCCCTTTTAGTATTACATTTTCATCTCAGTGCTATTTCTCTTTCTGAAGAACATTTATAAAATTTTAATATAAAACCATTAAGTGAGTAATCACTGCAACTCCTCGAATATGGGCCAGCGGTAAGAACACCGTGACTGACAGAGGAACAATCTTGTGAGCACTTACTTGCTTTTACATTAGATGTAGTCCTCTTACCCGTGTGCATCCAATACGGTTGTAATGATCACTATTTTTCTAGGGTGCCATTTTCAGCAGAGTGACTACCATCACTCACTATGATCCATCTTTAAGTTCAATTTCTTGAGAAACACGGAGAGTGCATTTGTTCTCAACTCTACACACAGGCAGGTATTTTTCTATGGACTTTTCATGCCCTTCCACAATGTGTTAGCAAACATGGAGGTTTTTGTGCTCAATCTGCTGCTGGGGCTTCAAATGGGCTTAGCCCCATTTGAAGTTTCTAGAAAGAGGTTCCCTGATGGTTAAAAACGCAAGTTCAAATGTTACCCTGAGGTCCATGCCCTTCTTAAGGATTCATACTCTGGGACTTAGGGGAGGTTCTCCATCTGCCATTCTAACTCTGTCTTGGATGGGTCCCTTAAACTTCATCTTCAAAGTGAGAATGATAAGGTGTGCAGCAGGGTACTTAAGAGGACTAATTAAGAGGCCCAATATCTCCCAGGTCCGCATGTGAAGCACCACCTTTGTGATGAAGGTACTATTTATGAGCCTTTGGCTGGGAAAAGAAATCCAAGGTTAAAGGTGATAATAATAGAAGTAGATTCTTCTTGAGTTCTTTACTAATCAAGAAAGATTATCACCTGCTTGGACTATTTCGGTACTGTCCTCTGAAGGAGAAACTTTGGAAAATATCAGAGCTCTCTGGGAGCTGGAAGGACCTTGGTCATTATTTACATACAAGATTCTTTTAAAGCAATAAGAAATGAGAAAATATTTGCTCAACTTCTCATTCAAACAAGACTATTACTTACAATCAAAGAACCAAACTGCTCCCCATTGGAGTCTGGAGTGATCTGAAGCCTTCTGCTCAGCTCCTCGGACAGCTCCTGAGGGCTGGTCCGAGACCCTGGAGAAGATGGTGGTGGGGGCAGTGCCAGACTGAGGGAGTCGCCGGTGATGCTCACCTCTTCGGAAATGGTCTCCCAAGGCTATCAAGGAACAAGATGCTGGGGTAAATGGTAGGAACGTGGGATCCTCTCGTCACCTTGCCGACAACAATAACTACTATAATAACTATGATTAGCATTTCCTGAGCATTTAAGGGGCACACAATCTTCTAATAACCATGAGAAACATGTGACTACTACCCTAATTAACAGATGAGGAAACCGACGCACAGAGAGTAACCTATCAAAGAGAACAGAGCTAGGAAGTGGCAGGGTCAGGAGTTGATCCAAGGGAGCCTGGTTCTAAGGGCTGTGGTCTTAACCACTGTAAAATTTCATCTCTCTGGGGTGCCTGGGTGGCTCAGTCAGTTAAGCGTCTGACTTCGGCTCAAAAACACCTCTCCAAGCGGTGACTTACTTCTGGCACTAGTTACTACATGCATGGGTTAAAAATGTTCTCATGCATTCATTCATGATTTCCATGAATTTTCTTTTACTGTAAATGCTGAGGAGTCACTATGAAAGCAGCTGAGATGCTATAAGCTGTAGGTAAACAGTGGTATTAAGTAACTTTTAGTGAATTCATATGGAATCATTGATTTTGCTTTTCCAATTTTGATCATGGCAATATTTTTGTGAAGGATCTTCATGACACACCGTCTACACAGAATGAACTTCTAATAAGTAAACACAGTAGTTAGGGCTGCACAGAAGTAACTGCTTAACAACTGGGAATTGCTAATTTGTCATTCAATTCATAACTCCCCCCAACCCCAGTAATTTACCATAAACATTTAAAGGGAAAAGTTAATAAACATTTCTAACTTCACCCAAATTTCTATTTTCTTGGCGATAAATCTCTTTCATGAGGTCAAAACTACTCAGTAAAATATCCTGGTACCCAGGACTTATTTAATTGCTGATCTATGACAACCACGCTGCCACTCACTCTGGGGACAGGTAAACAGTAAGGTGAAAATATCTTACGATTTCCAATACTAGAAATAACATCATTCCCTTTTGTAACAAACAGATACGTGTATTGTCAAACAGGAATTCATACACACTTCCTAAATTAATTAAGATCCCAGTGGTCATCAGTTAGCTGTCAGGCCACCATGTTTAATTTTTAGACAGCGTTTACCCAGAGGCAGTACTAGGACATGAACCCACGTGGAGCACGTGGGGAGGAGGGGCCTCGGGGAGCGGAGGGGGCGTGGGGAAGTCTCACCTCTGGGCCCTCTCCGCCCTCGCTGGGCTCCGGCTCCAGGTCCTCACTGATGTGTCTCCGCGAGCGGAAGCGCCGGTGCGCAGCCTCCTGGTTGATCTGCCTGATGTTGCTGTCCGACTCGGAGGCCACGTCCCTGAGAGCGCAGGGCGAGGGGAAGGGACACAGGACAGCCGGTGTGGGTATCTGGCACTTCGACAACAGCCCAGCGTTGCCAAGGGCCTTACACCCCGCTAAAATGTCGGTGGCGTCGTGTTCAACACGGACAACTAGCTGGCCGTTAAACAGGAGAATTCTCCCAACATGTTCTGGCTCAAGTACACTTCTAGGTTCATTTCAAACAAGTAAATACGGTGTTTAAATGCATCAATCACAAAGTTTTGAGTGTTTTTCAGGCATGTATCACAAAATGTACTTTAGTATTTAAGAAATCACAGCCCTGTGGGGCGCCTGGGTGGCTCAGTTGGTTAAGAGTATGACTTCGGCTCAGGTCATGATCTCATGGTTCATGTGCCTGAGCCTCGCATCAGGCTCTGTGCTGCCAGCTCAGAGCCTCGAGCCTCCTTTGGATTCTGTGTCTCCCTCTATTTCTACCCCTTCCTCTCCCTCTCTCTCTCTCAAAGAAAGGGAGGGGAAGGGAAGGGAGGGGAAGGGAGGGGAAGGGAGGAGAGGGAAGGGGAGGGGAGGGGAGGGGAGGGGAGGGGAGGGGAGGGAAGGAGAGGGTTGGGAAGACAGAAACAAATCAGAGAAATCACAGCCTTCCATCCATTTGTTCCAGTGAGAAGGTAGACTTCTCAAAGGGCAGGTGACAGACTTGGGGCCAGTCAGCGGCGACCCTCTAGGAGTCTAGCATTGACAAGGTGGCAACTTTTGGTTAACTGTTAGCTAAGAAGCAGAAATAGTACAGACTCAAAGCTGGGACTGGAGAGAAGTGCTCCTGATCCAACATGATTTTTGAAATCATTTTTTCAAAAACTCTATACCCATTTTTTGAAATGGATCTCATTTTGACAGGATCTCAGGATCATGGCACTGTATTCCTCCCTATGAGACCACTGTACAAAATTCACACACACATCAGGTGATAACGTCCCAAATCACGTGGGGTTTGAGGAAGACGGCAACTTCATTTTTTTTTATTGGTCATGTATCTCTCTTAATTTAGGATCTGAAAACATCAATTTAATCTTAAAAATTTCTGCAGTAAATTACAGGCAATCATCCTTTGGGAGAAATACTACTTGCTGCTTTTAGAGTCGAAGTTTAAATGTCAAAATGTTTTTCAAAGAAAAATCAGACTCTTTCTGTAAGACACCATATTCGGTTAACAAAAATGATGCTGCAAGTTAACATTTCAAAATATTTGAAAATGTTACTTAAGACCAATTGAAATACAGTATTAATCAAGGGCCCTCCTTATAGATTCTTCCTATAACTCAGGTTTTAAAACATTCTAACCTCTCAAACTTTTATTATACTCCACAGAAAGCCTGCTGGGCCCCTGTAAGAGTGAATAGTTTGTGACTAGCAGCACTGTGTACAAATAAATAGGGGGCTCTTTATTGCCCCTTTCTGAGATAGTTTAAATATTTCCAACAAACACCTTTACACTACTAACTTCTAGTAAACACAGGTTAGCGTCCATATAATCTACATTAGAATGATAATTACTTCTTAAAATCTGAATCAGTGAAGTTTTACTATATCTGTGTACCCAATACATAAACTTTTGAACTCTTAACAGAAATAACAATCTTGCATATTTTTAAATTATATTAAACTATGATGAGACTAAAAATAGTACCTTGAGATACCTTCAGAAAAACTGACGAAACTATGGGTATAGAGAAAATAATTAACATCAAGGGACACAGGAGGATACTAAACCTTTTCTGAAACCACCAGAACAAAATGATTGAAACTGACACTTTGTCAGACAGGTTAGAGAATGTAATTTTGCATTTGTGATTTTATGTTGCTACAGGTCTTTTATTTTTCAAAAAAAATTTGTGTAATGTTTATTTATTTTTGAAAGAGAGTGTGCATGTGCACGTGGGGGAGGGGCGGCGGGGGGGGGGGGGACACAGAATCTGAAGTAGGTTACAGGCTCTGAGCTGTCAGCACAGAGCCCAACGCAGGGCTAGAACCCATGAACTGTGAGATCATGACCTGAGCCCAGGTCGGATGCTCAACCACTAAGCCATGCAGATGCCCCCACCTTAGTTCATTTTTATAGGACATTTGATTCTTAAGCACACAATGATTATAAAAAGTTAAGTTAATCCAGAACAGAGAAATATTTAGAAGGAAAATAACCAAAATGGACTTTATGAAATATGTAAAATATTTCAGTAGGGTCTAAGACGGCAAAGGAAACTTGACATTTTCCTTTCCCTTTTTATTAAGGACGGCAGCAATTTCCCTTTCTAATGACTGGCCTTACTTTAAAATATTTTATATACATATATAAAAGACTTTCACCAGATTTTTAAATCTTCACTCGAACTATATATTCAGTTAGCATTTATTCAGTCAACACTGAGGGACTAATGTTTGATGTATTAGCTCCAGGTCCTAATACATACTTGAATTGTTCCAGGGGCTTCTGAGAGGTTAAGAAGAAGTCAGGTTTTATCATTACCATGTCTACATGCTGTATCCCTTAGAACTATGTAAGATTCCATTATTCTGGAAGGACTTGCTTTATTTTTTTATTTTTTAGAAAATTTCCAAAAGATACAATACAGTATTAACTGTTATCACCACCCTGAGATTAGATCTCCAAAACCTACTCATCCTCTATAATTGAAACTTTGCACCCTTTAACCAACATCTCCCCATTTCCCCCACACCTCCCATTCTGTTTTTTCTCTTTTTTTCATAGTTCATTGTCAAGTTGGTTTCCATATAACACCCAGTGCTCATCCCACAAGTACCCTCCTCCATGCCCATCTCCCCCCTTCCCCTCTCCCTCACCCCCATCAGCCCTCAGTTTGTTCTCAGTATTCAGGAGTATCTCATGGTTTGCCTCCCTCCCTCTCCCCAACTATTTTTCCCCTTCTTCTCCCCCATGGCCCTCCGCTAAGTTCCTCCTAGTCCACCTATATGTGCAAACATATGGTATCTGTCCTTCTCTGCCTGACTTATTTCACTCAGCATAACACCCTCAAGTTCCATCCACATTGGTACAAATGGCCGGATTTCATTTTTTCTCATTGGCATGTAGTATTTCATTGTATAGATAAACCACATCTTCTTGATTCATTCGTCCGTTGATGGACACTTAGGCTCTTTCCATGTTTTGGTTATTGTTGAGAGTGCTGCTATGAACATTGGGGTACATGTGCCCCTATGCATCAGCACNAGTTTGTTCTCAGTATTCAGGAGTATCTCATGGTTTGCCTCCCTCCCTCTCCCCAACTATTTTTCCCCTTCTTCTCCCCCATGGTCCTCTGTTAAGTTCGTCCTAATCCTTCTATATGTGCAAACCTATGGTATCTGTCCTACTCTGCCTGACTTATTTCGCTCAGCATAACACCCTCAAGGTCCATCCACATTGCTACACATGGCCAGATTTCATTCTTTCTCATTGCCACGTAGTATTCCATTGTATAGATAAACCACATCTTCTTGATCCATTCGTCAGTTGATGGACACTTAAGACTCTTTCCATGATTTGGCTATTGTTGAGAGTGCTGCTATGAACATTGGGGTACATGTGCTGGATGGTCTTGTTTTAAAAGGTGGGGGGACATTTAAAATCAATTACGTGAATCTCCCTTACCCCACATGATCATACAATTAGTGATCAGTGTGAACCAGAAACAACTAAATAGCAGAGAGAGAGGATTACTTCTGATTTTGAAATTCCAACCCTGGGCTTTTATGGTCTTTAGTGATGAAGTGAAAATATTCACATGGCGGCGGGGGGGGGGGGGAGCATCTTTTGAATGTCATTAAGTAACTGAATAAGAGGGTTGCTGAAACTAGAAATCATCGCTAATGGGAAGATAAACATTTAAAAATATTTCTGAGCTGACAGATTAAATCAGAAAATTATTTTATTGGAGACAAGAAAATATTTTAGGAAACAGTTATTTCAATTTTCTCCAGTCATTAATTTCATCTATCTATCCATCCATCCATCCATCCATAGATAGATGGATAGAGAAAAAGCCACCCTCAGGGGTACCTGGGTGGCTCAGTCGGTTTAGTGTCCGACTTTGGCTCAGGTCATGATCTCACGGTTCGTGGGTTCGAGCCCCATGTCGGGCTCTGTGCTGACAGCTAGCTCAGAGCCTGGAGCCTCTTTCGGATTGTGTCTCCCTCTCTCTCTGACCCTCTCCTGTTTATGCTGTTTCTCTCTCTCTCTCTCTCTCTCTCAGAAATAAACAAAACATTAAAAAAAAAAAAGCCCCCCTCAGACTTGAGAGAGCCGCAATCACTGTGTTCAGCGTTCCATCCTAAAGTTCTGGATCCAGGCTAGACAGTTCCCTCAACCGTATGCCCGTCATCGCTCTGAGAAGTGATTCACTTGTAGCCATTCATTCAGTTATAAGGTACTTTGCTGAGCTCCTACTCTGAGCCAGGCACTAGTGGTGGATCTGGAAGTAAGAGAACATTGACCCTCTTCCCACAGGCCACCAGAGTATGGTGTGCTCCCTGCCACCACAGGGAAGCAGAAGTCCTTCAGTGTGAGCTAAACAAGAAGTGCAGTTCTCACAGAGGAAGGTAAAGGCAGCCAGAAGAAAGGGGACATGGTAGTTTTGTTTCAGTGTTTGGGCATCAGCACATCCACAGGGCCAAGAAGAGAGAATCATCAGGAAGCAGCTGTGAATGGTCCAGCCACTTAATACACCGTAGGCTTAGGACTGTGGGTGGTAAATCTGGCAAGGGACAGGGTAGAGAGGGACAGCCGGAGGGTGATGAAACTGTCAAGTGAGATTATTCAGGGGGTTGAAGTCTGGACCACAAGCCTATTAAACTGGGTAACACATGAGTCACAAGGACACTCTTAATTCTTTGCATTAGCACATGGCCATCACTTCTTTGTCTCATTTCCTCAGATATAAACTTTTAATACTTTTTTAAAAAAAATTTTTATTTTTGAGACAGAGTGCAAGTGCCTGTGCATGAGCAAGCTGGGGAGGGACAGAGGGAGAAACAAAGAGAATTTTAAGCAGGCTACACACCTAGCACGGAGCCCTCCTCAGGGCTCCATCTCACAACCTGAGGCAAAATCAAGAGTTGGATGCTTAACCAATTCAGTTAACCAGACGTCCCTAATAAGGCACTTCTTAATGTCAATTTCCCCCCAAAGGCTGTGGCAGTATTCTGCAAAAACTGAATCATGCAACTAATTAAGTTTGAATTAAAACAATACTTTAGGGGCCCCTGGGTGGCTCAGTCGGTTGAGCATCTGACTTCGGCTCAGGTCATGATCTCACAGTTCATGAGTTTGAGCCCTGCATCGGGCTTTGTGCTGACAGCTTGGAACCTGGAGCCTGCTTCAGATTCCATGTCTCCCTCTCTCTCTGTCCCTCCCCTGCTCGCACTCTCTCTTTCAAAAAAAAATAAACATAAAAAAAATAAAAACAACAACAAAAAAACCCATAATACCTTAAAATAATTCTGTAAGGCTTGAGGACTTCTGGCCAAGTCAAAAAAAATTAAGGAGAAAGAACTAAAATTCTCAAGACCGTTCAGATGGGATGAAGAGGTTACCGTGGAAACGAACTCTTCTTCCTTATCTAACTTTTCTCTGGATTTCTAGAAGCCATGCCCACTGGAAGCAGCACTCCTGGGCCCCACCTGAGCTCTGCTGACATCCTTCCTGGTTCAGCCTCTTTGGCATAGCTGCCTCACTGATGGGGACAGTCATGCTACTGACCCCTCCCTAAACTACATGTGAACCTGAACTTGGATTAAGGGCTGCATTTTTCTCATGTCGCTCTGGACAACTGATGAGTCAGCAGTGTACAAATGATCTCTTTTGTTTTGGTTTAGTTCTTTGGGACACTGCCCCCAAGGTGGTGTGTTTACAAAAACATATGAAGCATTTTCTCAGAAGTTTCCTCATTAGGGTTTCACAACTCTGGGAGGTAGAGAAAGCAAGTATTTCCATTTATCCCAAAATAGTAGACTTCAGTCTGATTATTAATGAAGGTAAACTTTTTTCCATCTATGCATTGGCCATTAGGATTTCTTTCTTTGTGAGCCGTGAGCAGTCACTTTGCTACTGTCAGGAGACACTCTGATCCCCATGTGTTAAGTGTCCCATTATGTTAAGCAAGTGAAGACTACGGTGCCTTGCTTAGGGTACTGCGACCAAGATTCTTGATTCAAGATACTTGACCGTTTACAGTAACCAATGTTACATGGCGGGGAAGGGGGGGAGGAATGAGGGTCCAATTTTTTCCCCCCAAACATTTACAAACAGGTAATCAAATGGCTTAAAATAGTTTCACAATAGCTATGGTCAGTAATCAAAGAGAAATAGTGAAAAATAAAAGAACAAAACCATTTCTATTTATATTTCTCTGGGGGAAAAAAAAAATCACAAGGAAGAGTTCATGCTCATCTGGCTGTTGGCCTATTTCCACTGTCCTGTGAACAATGAGCTGGGTCCAAAGCTGACCAAGCACAGCTGATATTCACAGGAACCCACCTGGGGGCTTAGGATGGAATGGCTATTCATTGATGCAGATCAGGCAAGCTTTCTCTCCAACTCAAAACCTGGACTAGACTCCTTGGCTACCTTCCCCACCCTCGTTCATAAGCAGAATCTTTGTAACTTTAAAGATAAAAGGGTTACTGACGCCGCCATCACCCATCATAGTGCTAATACCACTCATTTAAAAACCATCATGAGCAAATTTCTTTCAGAGTTTGGGTTAAACAGAAAATGATCTCATCTAATATATACTTGTGTTTATTACGTATTGAGAATGATGTAATTCATTGACAATTACATTCCTTGTTTTGGCTGCTGGGAGCTCAAAATTTCCTTTTCCTTCTTTTAATACTTGTTTTGCCTTTTATTGTATACTAATAGATTGAGGTCTTGCTGGATACTGTGATTTAAAAACAAGCTGCTACAAATCGTTTTTGAATGTAGTTGAGGTTTAACTAGTGTTTATCTTCTACCATCAAATAGAAAATTGTTGTGTGAACAAAACAGCAATCATTTCACTACATCCCTGAGGCCGGTGAGGATTAGGATAAACAGTGATGACTAATTCCGAGTTTGCAACCCTTCCATGGGTGTCTAGTTAGATCACGGGGATGATTTATAAATTTCCCAAAGAGGAAAAATAAGATAAGTTGCATTTCCAAATTAAATAATTAAAGGGACTAAAAGTCAAAAACTTAAAAGAAAATTGTACAGCCAATCCATTTGCTGTTTTCCGTTCTGGGTTCGTCAGGAGAGGAAGCCAATGACAAGGCAAGTGATAGAATTGTCATACGTAAGATAAATCTAGGAAAGATAACTTCAGTAGGTCAGGAACCTATATGAAAGACTGTATTCATTTTGTCTAATATGAATTGGTTCATACTTAAAGTAGGTGAACATGACCTAAGGAAAAGAGTTGCTTCTTGATCATATGCAAATTCTGACAGGCTCCCGTGCTCTTTAACTAAATCAAGAGTAACCTGCTGTCCTATACATCCCCACATAGGACAAAATGTCCTACGCTCTTCTGACACAAGACTGAGTTCCCAACCTTGTCCCCGAGACTGTCATGTTCCAACCTCCATGCCCGCGGACACGCCCCCAGCCATGGCACGGTACTCACATTAAGCTTGGTCGGTGCCACTGAGTGGTCCGGTTGTTGTGGTTGACGTAATAGGTTCGACCTAGATTGTCCACTTTCTCTTCCCAGCCGGGAGGCAGGGGAGGTGGGGGAAGCTCCTCCTGGTGCTGAGAGGCCGAGTCATTCGAGTCCACGACCTCCCAGCCGTGCTGTGGAATAAGAGCAAATGAAGACCATTGAGGTGGGCCTTTCAGACGTGAGGAAAAAAGAATCACACTGTGCTCTGGGTCCTTCTTCCTTGCTCCTTCGAGCTCTGGCTCTTTCAGTGGCTTTGTGTGCCACGTGTAAAGAAATTCCCAAAAAGGGGAAAAGAAAAAAAAATCAACTCTAGTAGAGCCTCAAAAAACATTCTGAGCAATGACCAATTCACTGTGCTGCCTTCTAACTGGACAGAACGGCCCAGCTTTGGACATGTCCAGTGTGTTGTGTTAAGTCACATTAGCCTCTTTTCATGTTCGTGTTTGTTATTGTGACCTGAAGGCTGCCAGGGCCATACAAAGCCATGCCAGTGACATGGGTCATGTTACAGCTGTTGTCTTTTTGACACCCCCACAAGGTAAAAGGGAGCTGGGGCGCAGAGCCATTCTGCACGTGTGTTCTAATGGAGATCACGGCATGAGGGGCCAGGGGGCCCGGGCTCTATCGCTCCCCATGGAGGACGGCGCTGAGGTGCGCTCTGCAAGCAGGCAAGGCTCCCATTCTGCATTGAGTACCATCATGAGAGAAGTCTAGAAGCTGCCTTCCACTTAGGCGCTCCCCACTTGTGGCCATAAACAGGCTTCATGGTACCAGAGTTAAGACTTATGTTTTTGTAACACATATTTTAGGCATTAAGTATTCCTTCCTAACATCCCCTAGTAAAGTCGCTGGAAAATTGAGTAATTCACTGGTTAGTGCAGTTGGAGAGCCAGAAGAGTGTAAAAAATTCCTGGGATTTGAGATAAAAATCGGTCGATGTGCTTATGAAATCTTAACATGCATACATCCCTACCACCCACTTCACCTCTGCCCCGCGCAGAGGGATGAAAACACACAAGTGAAACACTGCCCAGAAATATGACCGCTTGGCCTGCAGAGGGTTCCGATAACTTGTCCATAACACATAATTTGCGTATCACGGTATATGCAGCAGCTGCAAACAGTTGTGGAAATCAGCCACGGAGGCGCCCTTGGTCAATGGACGTTTGTAGAACAACGTGAGAATCTCACAAAAGGGCAGTATCAGGAGCATGCGCTAAGAAGGTACATCAGGGCTCATGATATAAGTATGAGATTAAGGAGTTTAAAGGCAGCTATGCCGGGGGAGGGGGTGGGTGGAATTCCTCCGGATGGCTACTTCCAAAATGGTGTTTCTAGAGGAAAGCTTTCCTAATGCATCACCTGGGGGCCTGATGAGGAAGAAAACTTGGAAAAGATTTTCTAAATCAATTCACTGCTTCCACTGTGAAGCAATTCCAAGCGCAACGAGGAAATTTACAATGAGCTGAAAGTCCAAAGAAGTAAGAGAATGAGATAGGTGAGCAGAATTTCACTTTGGGGTGGGGCTATGAATGAAATATGGCTATGGCATTTTATAAGGGGAAGCCTTTTCAATTATGGATGCTGCAACATAAAAAGTTTATCTTTTTTTTTTTTTCCTAACCAAACCCAAACACATCAGTAGATGATCACAGACGCATGAACACAGTTTTTTCAGGGTTCAGGTTTACACACTTCTGTGTCCTTAAACCACAAAGCCTTAAATAAAATATTATTATGATCCTGGGCAAGGAAAGCAGACCAAGGCTTGCAGTTCTGCAACTTACCTCCATGTCATCTCTCTGCTCACTGTTTTCTTCATCTTGACCTCCATTTTTTGGCATATAGGCCATTTTCAACCGCAAAAATCCCTTAACTCGAGATTTATGACTGCATAATGGAAGAGAAATGGTTATAAAGGATACGACTTGGTTACATCTCTCATATTTATGAAGACTTTTACAAAAGATGCAAAGGGAAAAAGAAGCTGAAATCTTCCTCAGAGAAAACCAATGACCAAAGCGTGATGGACACCCGCACCCCAGAGCCTCACCTTCTTGGTCTAAGGAGAAAATCCTTAAATGTATAGGGTCGCTCCATGGTCGGATCTTCTGTCTATAGGAAGAAAAAGTAGGTTTCAAAACTCCTTGATAGTCTCGAATGTTAGATACACCAAACCGGATTACAGAGCACACACGCTCATGTTCTAGAACATGGGAAGGGTGAAAATGGGCTTGGGTCTTCACCTGGTACTCCATGAGTCATTATTTTAGAGGTCACAAAACTTTATCTACCCAAGATCCACTAGATGTCACTACCAACACCCATTTTTAGGAGCCAACCCCAGCGTTAGACAAATGACAAAATTATAGTCGTCACTGCCAAGTGTAATTTCTGACTACAGGGTGCAGGCCTCAATCTCACTGCTGATTAATTTCAGAGAACCAGTGGTCACTGGTGTCTTCTTGTCCCCTGTGATCCAAGAAACCTAAAAGTGGTGTTAACAGGAAAATATGTCTGCGAAGGCAATTTTACTTTATTTTTAACATGAAAATATCATGTCATCGGCTTAAGATAACTGAAAGATTCTCTCCTCCAGGGAGACCATTCTGTGGAGTGCCATCAATTAGCCTCTACTCGTGCTTTCTCCATGAAGCTAGGAGTGCAATTGTGGTATTTTTATTTAAAAAAATTTTTTTTTAACATTTATTCATTTTTGAGAGAGAGAGACGGAGTGTGAGTGGGAGGGCCAGAGAGTGGGGGAGACACAGAATCTGAAGCAGGCTCCAAGCTCTGAGGTGTCAGCACCAAGCCCGACCCGGGGCTTGAACCCACAAACCACGAGATCATGACCTGAGCCAAAGTTGGATGCTCAACCGACTGAGCCACCCAGGTGCCACGTAATTGTGCTATTTTTAAAAAGCAATCAGTACTCATTTTACTGTGCAAAGTAAGTTGGTCAAAGCAAGTAGAAAGTTGGAAAAATGTCCCTATTTCATTAATTTTTAAATACTCTATATAGTAAAAAACCTCAAATATCCAGGATCTTTAATTCCAAACAATGTAAAATGTTTATGTTTGTGGCAAGAGAGACAAACCACAGTACTATGCTTAACTGACATATTGTATTGGAGGGTTGTGTAGGTGTGTACGTACGCATTGGTATTTGGAACGTCGTAAGTTGTATGTCATCCCTCCTTTAAGCTCCAATGGCTTCCTGCTCTGCTTATAATACACTGAAAATGCTTTCCTATGGCCGTGTAAGATTAAATGTGACCTGGCTTTTTACTACCTATTACCTCACTGTCAGCCAGTCTCTCTGTCCTGGCCTCATCTGTCCTGGTCACATCACATCCAATCCTGCCCCAGCAGGTTCTTCTGCTAACCAGCTGTGGCTCCAAATGACCATGGTTGGCTCCACTTTGAACCCAGGTGTGAGATCACAGGTCACATTCTCAGACACTGCATCATCCTACCTACCACCATTAGCCTCCCCTTACCACCCTCTATCATAGTATCCTGGTTTCTCTCCCCTCTTTTCACTATCTGAATTTATCTTGTTCACTTACTTATTTACTAATTTGTCATCCACCACTTCTAGAATTAAGCTCATGAGATGAGAAACCTGGATTTGCTCACCATTAAATTCTCGGTGCCAAGAACACTGCTTGGCACAAATCAGGCACATGTACAAGCAGCTGATTAATCCGTCTGATCTACCGTGAACTACTGAAGCCATGAAAATGTCACCATTGCTGAAGGAAGTCAATTATATTTTCTAGGCTGTCCTCTTTAAGGCAATACAGTTAGGCATTTGGGAAACATTTTCGAGAAAAAGAGGTTTCCAATCATACGGCACTTAGTATGGAAAATTTATTAATCAAGAATATTATTCCATTTCTTCCTTCTCATTTATTTGACCACAAAGAGTTTTAGAACAAAATCCATGTGAAAGGCATGTGGATACACCCTGGCGCATTCCCTTAGAGTTAGAAGGATGTATCAATCAAGAACTTGAACCTAAGGCAGAACAAATTCACTGACGTGTGGAGATCACATTCCATGAGACATGGGATGGAAGGGAGAGCCTGATTCTCACTTGGAGATCAACGTCGTTTGGGGGTATGTGATCCAACCCGAGATGAATGGGCACGTTTGGACAAGTGGGGAATCAGGAGGAAGGGTAGTTCAAGCCGAAGCATTCAGCATGGGCAAAACCACGGGATTCTCAGCAGGCACGAGGAGTTGAAGATAAGCAGAGAGAGCAAGAGACAGTGAACAGAGGAAACCACAGGGCCTAGAAGACTCCTTTGATAACGAACCCACCCACACACTATGTGGTTTAAAGGACAAATGCCACACAGATCAAGAGGCGGACCTCCTAGGTCTGTGTCCTGGCTTCCTTACTGACACAGCTGTGCGGCCAAGAGTTAAGTCCCTTACCTCTCCTGCGCCTCAGTGTCCCCTTATCTAAAAATGGGGCCATCACGGGATCTTACAGGATTGTTGTGGAGATTAAACCCATCAGCTGAGTTGGTATACATGACCGGCACACTTAACAAACGTTGGCCTTTATCATCATCAGCTGATTCTCCATTTTCCCGTCATCTGTATGAAGGAGGACTGCCAGCTCCATGTCCTCCGATAAAGGGCAGGGCATTAAAAAATGAAAATCCACCTCCGTGGAAATTCTCGCATGTGAGCAAGATGGTGACCTTGTACACAGGGACAGGATTCTTCTCAGCGTTACCCAGGGTCCTACCTGCTCCGATTTGCTGGAACAAAGCCCAGCGGAGATTCCCAGGCCAGCACCGGGAGACGCGCACCTCCAACAGGCTGACGCTGACAGCATTACCAGCCAAAGCGGACCGTGCTGTCCCGTTCTGCAGGCGCTGAACATCCCAAAGAAAATCTTTTGGATACATAGCACTTTCATCTTACAAAGAGTAGCTGCTTTCAGAAGAACTGCAGTCACTAGGGCACAGAGCGAGAGGAACAGCTTTGTGCGCAAATGGAAGCGAACAGCCTTACCAGGACCCTAGATTCAAAACCTGCATGCAACCACCAAGAGCACCCAATCCTTAGACTGAGCCCCCTTCAACCGCCCGCCCAGGCCCCCGACCACATCAGACATTAACATCAGAGACCCAGAGTCTGGCCCAGCCTTGCCGCCAGCCTACTGAGTCACCTAGCAAGTCACCTCTCTGTCTGGGCTCAGACGTCCTCAACTGTAAAACACAGGGAGTAGACAAATGGTCTGTGAAGCCGCTCTGAGCTCTAGGACGCTGAATTCTACACATGCGAGCGGGAATCCCTACCCTGCTCTCAGCCACAAACATAAAAGGGGCACTTATCATCCGAGTTACCTTCAAGTACAACTAAGGCACCAGAAACAATACCACTTCCCTGAAAATGCTTCGCTCTAGAGAAACGGAAGCTCAAAAAATACCTTGGTTGCCTTGAGCAGCACTTGACTAAAATAGGAGAAATTCAGGTTTTTAAAATAGCTCTCTGCAGCCCAGCGTGTTTCCCGTGGACACAGAGACTGCGCAGCTGAATGGGATGGGTGGCCTTGGAGACACCACTGAAGGAAGAGTCGGGAAAAATGTCAAAGGCATAACAGGCAAACAGCTGCCAGAAAATGTCCCTCCGTTGTTACTACAAGTCTCGGAGCGGTCTGGCCTCTAGATGATTAGTAAAGGCAAGTCGTAAAACGTGCAGTCCTAAGCCTTGAACCTGAAGAGTCATAAACCCACTGGCTTTAACAAACAGATGCAAAAACGGCAGCTCAAGACAAATCAGCAGGAAAAGCGGCGTTACAGCTAAGTCTCCTGCTGGTGGTGTCCCTGCTTCAGGACAAAGGGCGGCTCTGTCTCAGCCCGAGGACAGAGGTCAGGCAGGTAGGCCGATGACGACGACCTTCCTCAATTACAGAGTCTCGCCTCCCGCACATGCCTCCGGCGAGCCCTGACGCCCCAGTCCACCAGGTGACACACAGGTCACTGTGGTCGTCTGCGCCTCTGCTCAGTGAGGCGCGGAGCAGCTGAGATGTGGCCCCACAGAGCTGGGTGGGAACCCGGAGCTGTCTGAGCACCTGCCCTCCCTTTACAGGCGACAACACAGAAGTCCGGGAAGGATTACTGACTCATTAAGGTTGTCAGGGCGACCGGCCTGTCTCCCACGTCCAAGGGCTCTTTTAAAGCCTGACCTTTGGAGACCTCTGTGATTGTGGATTTACGTTTTTTTAATTCTCTGATCTGCATACACGGCGGGACCACCAACCTTACCTACTCTCCCTGCCTCCTCTCCTTCCTTCCCTCACTCCTATTCTCAAAACTGAATAAGGGCAAGAAATATTAGAGGTGAGCAGCAAATCTGGGATGGGAACAAAGGAAAGAGAGGGCCCTCCTGTTTTGGACCCTCACGTCCTGTTTTCTTCAGGGCACTGGGAGCAGGGACTCTGGGGGCTAAGATGAAAACGCACCCCAAGTCTACACTGACTCCCTTTCCTCTGCAAATATTTGAGGTGAGCAGCAGGGAGGAATCCAGCATCACAACAGGGAAGAGAGGTCTATTTTCTTTCGCATCCCTGCTCCGGACTCTTTCCTGTGAAGGGGACAGTGAGGGAGTGGAGAGTGGCCTCCTCTGGCCACTGTGCTGGATAACTGAGGTGGTGACTCTGATGTGCCGGGCCCCTGGCCTCACACAACCCTCCCTGCCCTGTCTCTGTTCCGAGTGCCTCCTTCATTTCTCAATGCTGGCTGAACTCCAGCTCAGCCCCCAGGGCCCAGCAGGACCCACATGCGCCAGATCTGAGATGCCAAGGTGCCTGTCATTTGTACTGTGCACCTGTGTAAGGGGGTGCTCAGGGTTGCTCTGACTGTCCAGCCTCCCTGGGGCCAGTGTATTTATAGCGGCAGGTGAAGACAACGTAGGAAAGCCACTCCTGCGATCCTAAAGGCATGTTTGACATCACAAACACCAACATCCATTGGCAACGGACCCAATACGCCTATAGCATTTCAGCAAGGCAAGAAGGGTCTTCAGCAAACATCAATTTATGGGTCTAAAATATTTATTCTTCAAACATACACAAAACAGGATTTAAATGATCAAAAATAATTTCTTAACAATCATGAGAGATTACACTAAGTTTAGTTCTGCTGTCTTGGATCTTCTTCATGAAGCTCCTGATTTAGAAAAGAGCTTCATTCAAATTAAAGCAACTTCTTAGACCATAATCAAGACACATATTTTTTTTTTAAAGGAGTAAAGATTCACGATATCTTGTGGCAATAAGATAAAGCCTCACTCTTGTTTAATATGTAAAATAGGGGTGCCTGGGTGGCTCAGAGGGTTAAGCATCTGACTTTGGCTCAGGTCACCATATCACAGTTCGTGGGTTCAAGCCCTATGTCAAGCCCTATGACAGCTCAGAGCCTGGAGCCTACTTCAGATTCTGGGTCTCTCTTTTTCTCTGCCCCCCCCCCCCCAAAACATTAAAAAATTTAAAATAAAATGCCTTTAAATAAATTAATGGGTATGTGTGTGATAATTATATATCTATCTGAGATACATATATCAACATGGAGATATACACTATCAGGTATTTTGTTAATACAGATTTAAAAAATAAATACTTCTCTTTAATTCCTAGGATTTTAAACATCTAGGCTTTTTCTTATTACTTAAATTAAATATTCTTGGTATATCAGATGCATAGAACTAGAAAAAACAGCCTCAGGTAGGGGAAGATGACTGAATGAAAAATCACTAGCTGAACCTGGTGGGGGTTTAGGCATTCCTATCTGCGTGAGGAAAAGGGAATCTGGAATCATACCTTATTTTTAATCCAAGGAAGGGCACACGGTCTCACCTTCACATGTGCCACCCAATATGGTGGCATGGGCCACACGTGGCTTTTTCTATTTTAATTCATTAACATGAAAGAAAATTCTAAATTCAGCTCCTTAGTCACATCAGCCGGAGTTCAAATGCTCAACTACTGTGTGGCTACTGTAGCAGGTGACAATGCTGGGCTATGTGAGGAAGAAAGCCGTTTCATCAGGTTCGTCCTCAGAGATTAGAATCCTATCCGTCACCAAACAGCTGCTGAAGGACACATTCTCTATCAGCTAATAGGGCTGCATGAAATTAATAATCAAATGTCCAATTAGATACCTTCAATCCTGAAAGGGCTCGCATGGGTCAAAAATGGCAAATTCACCACCACGTCACTGCTCTCCACTATCTTCTCTCATTACTGATGAGACAGTTTTCCTAGTTTATCTAGAATTTGAAGGTTTTGACTAATACTGAGTCTCCAGGCCATATGTAATCTGCCCGACCATGGTCATGGAGCTTTCGAGAAAAGAGTAACCATTACTGACTCCACAAAATACATTCAACCGCTAACGTCTATTCCTTACACCCACGCTTGTTGTTGTCTTTTTTTTTTTTTTTAATTTTTAAAGTGTTTTTATTTATTTCTGAAAGACAGAGCACAAGTGGGGAAGGGGCAGAGAGAGAAGGAGACACAGATTCAGAAGCAGGCTCCAGGCTCTGAGCTGTCAGCAGAGACCAACATGGGGCTCGAACCCAGAGACCGTGAGATCATGACCTGAGCTGAAGTCAGACACTTAACCGGCTGAGGCACCCAGGCACCCCACTGCTGTTCTACAAAATAAAACGACACTGTGCAATGTTCCCACAAGTGCCCTACGTGTACGATCGAACTCACACACGAGAGCCCCTCATATCCTGAGCCTGAGGTCTGTGTCCATTCAGAATATGCTACCTGGGTTCTACCACCACCAAGGTGGTGAAGAATGCGCCGCCATCCCTCTCCTTTGACTTCCTCTGTGGCCCCTTTCCTGGACTGCAGCTGGCTCCCCGAAGCTAGCCCATCGGGAGTACGAAGACTGCCCCACTCCAGGATAAGCTAATCCTGGGGTGGGCGCAAAACGGGGACGGGCCGAACCGCTCACCTGGCTCGGGTCAGACTCAAGTTCACAGCGCCCTGCAGGCACTCACTGGCTACTTTCTCTCATCGGCTGGTTTCTAGTCCAGCCTCCGGCCCTGGCACCAGCTCATCCTTTGAAAGCTCACTCTTGCCTCCACCCAAACCCAAAGCTAAACCATTCCCTCTACTAAGGAACACTGTTCTATTCTGAACCCCCACCCCCACCCCGGTCCCCCAACCTTTCAAAACCCAATTTGCACTCAATCACTCAAATGAGGGATTGTCGGAGCAGGGATGTTTAAAACATTCCCCTTCCACCTCTTAGGGAGTGTTAGCACCTCATCTGCCTTCACCCAGACAGATGTGGTTTTTATGCTAGGGACAGGGGTGGTTAGGGCTACACTGGCGAAAGAATGGGCCAACTAACACTGCTCGAAAATGTGAGCAGAGAGCTTCAACCCGAAGGGGATAAACAGAAGGCCAACTGACGCAGAAACACGTGAAGAGTCTTTCCTTGCAAAGTGGAGACTTCCGCACCCTCCCCATGTGACTCAGAAAGGACGGCCAGGTTGGCGAAGCCACGCGCAGTTAGTCCCGTGCAATACATCCGCCCTCTGCAAGCACCTGGGAGCTTCAGGGTTTTAGATGGAAACAAACATGTTTTCATGACATCACATTTGCTTCCGATCTCTGGGAACGTGCTTGAAACCTTTCTTCCTCAATAGCTCCCCTGAGTGAGTAAGAATAAATTGCTTGCTATCATATCCTGCACAACACCTCTTCAGAGCTTCTTGGGTAAGACACAGTCTTTCGTGGTACTTACCATACGGTAACAGCCACCGTTTCAACACAGCGGTACGCTTGCACTAGGAGGTTTAAGTCACTTCAGTTTATAGACTGTTGACGCTATTTGCTCAAAATATTAAAACAAAAACTAACAAGGGGCACCTGGGTGGCTCAGTGGGTTCAGCCTCCGACTGTGGCTCAGGTCGTGATCTCTCGGTTTGTGGGTTCGAGTCCCGTGTCGGGCTCTGTGCTGACAGCTCGGAGCCTGGAGCCTGTTTTGGATTCTGTGTCTCTCCCTCTCTCTGCCCCTCCCCTGCTTGCACTGTCTCTCTCTCTCAAAAATAAACAAGCATTTAAAAAAAAGTAACAAAATTAACAAAATGGCCTTGGGAGGCAGAAACATTTGACTTCTCTTAGATACTATCTGAGTCACTTTGTGCTGCCTTGTGGAAGAGGGAGCAGGAGGGGTGGGGATGGAACAATCTGGAAAACTGAAGCTGAAATACGAGCCGACCCGCCTTCCCCAAGGCCTCCAGGTCCCGTCTCCACAGTTTACCTGCATTGCCTCTGGAGCACGACACCATTAGCCCCAGTCAGCAGCCACACACTCAAAACTGTTCTGCTACTCGTCTGAGCAGAGAGAAATGGCAGCAACATCACACAGGCTACCTCAGTGCCGTCTCTACAGCTGCGGTGGGGGTTTCCAGCTGACAAGTTCACTCAACCAGCAGCGTCTTTGTTCGGGTCCCCCCTGCTGCCCGGGAAGAGCCATAAACCCCAGTCTGGGAGGCGCTAGCTTCTATGGATGCAGCCGGGGGGTGGGGGGTGGGAAGAGCGTGTGTAATTCTAGACAAAGGCAACACATGTCTGAGTGGACCCAAAGGATGGATTTGCAAGTAAAAACATCCCAGTGACAAGGAGGGGGGCTGGCCAGAGAAAGGGAGCCGTTTTCCGTGATGTGACAAAGGAAGCGTGGAAGATAAAGAGGCTGGTGACGCAGACAGGCACACCTGGGTGATTCAGATACACCCGATCTTCACAGTTAAGTTCTCTCCCGTCCCCCTCCAAGGACCACTTTCTAGAAAGGGCCAGGGCCAGCATACACGCCCTTCATTTCAGCCTCCTCCACTACCTGGAGGAAATACTGCTCCGAAATACACCCAACCGGAAACCACGAGAAAGCGCGGCTCACCACATGCACCGTAAAGCGGGGAACAGTCCTTACCGGGAGATGATTAAGGGGTATGTCCACCTGTCCCAGGAAGTCGTCTCGTGTCTGTTGAGAAGAGAGCAGAGAGTTAATGTCCCTATGTACCCACTAAACGTCAGCATTCTTTAAAATATTTAATACGTTTCTTTAATCTAAGGTTTCTGTGGGAGATGAAAGTACAGCTTAGAGTCCAGGGTACGGTAACAGTGTTGTACAGGCAGTGACAGAGAGTAGACACCCTTGCGAGCACTGCATGAGTGAGGTACAGTGAAACGTCGCAGACCTAAAACTAATGTAACACTGTGTGCCAACTACAAAAAAAAAGTTTCATTATAAACAGAAGGGTCCAGGGCCCGACCCTGGAGCGCGGGAAGGCAGAGGGCGCTGCGGGGTGGCAGGCAGCCGGCGCCTTGGAGCCGGGTGAGCCCGGGCCCTTGGCCACCAGGACTTCAGCTGCCTGTGCCTCTGTAGGGGGTCTGTTACCCCCAGAATGGAGACAAATCATCGCCTGGGACTGGGGAGCATGTGATCAGTACGGGAAGGGACACTCGGGACCAGAGAGGGCTAGGGGGCCCAGCCGGCCCAGTTTACAGAGAAGACAGGAGTGACGTGTTGGGAACATTTTAACAAATCTTTAAGTGCTAGAACGAGCTTCCTGAGAGCGGAGTCTGGGGAAAGAGTAATCACCTAGTTATTAATAAATTTTACAAATTACTTCTCATTAAAAAATGGCCTCAAACTTCCAATCTTATAAGTACACTAGTTTGGAATCCAAGTTCAAGGATACTATAGTTTGCTGAGTAATTTCTGGACACACCGTACTTCTTCCTGTCTCTGTCCTTCCACACGGCGTTCATCATTCTGACGTGAGACCTAGAGACAAGACCCTCCCCTTTCAGACCTGGGAGTCCTAACTCAGGCTCAGGGGACACTGGCCTGGGCCACAGGCTGTCCGACAGGTCTTGCTGACTCTAAGTCCTGTAAGGATGTCTGTGCTATGGCTTCGGACATTTGGATGACCCTGGGGTAGAAGTCTGTTACCCTCTTATAAACACATGCAGCTTCTTCTACCATATTCAAAATGCCTAAAAGCAGGAAAGTTCTTTACATGTGATCCGACCTGTCCCACTGCTAGCCTGAGGAAAAGCCCAAAAAAGAATCCAGACCACCTAAACTGAAATCCGGGGCTCTTGTTTTCATTCCTTGCTGGTTTACCGAGGAATTTTCTACTTTACAGAACCTACTTAAAAAAAAAAATTTTTTTTTTAATGCTTACTTCTGAGAAAGGGAGAGACAGAGCGCAAGTGGGGGAGGATCAGAGAGAGAGGGAAACACAATCCGAAGCAGGCTCCAGGCTCTGAGCTGTCAGCACAGAGCCCTATGCAGGGCTCGAACCCACCAACTGAGAGATCATGACCTGAGGCGAAGTAGGACACTCAATTGACTAAGCCACCCAGGCGCCCCCAGAAACTATTTAAATGTACTTGGAAAACCTCTCTTCTTACATTTGAAGAGAAGCAGTTGGTAAACATGAATGAGATTTACTGAAATGATTTGCTCTAAGCTCAGGATTTCCTTTTAGGTCATTTTTAAGAATCTGATTAACTAGAAAGCTTTCTGTTTCCTCTAGATGATGAGTTAAGGACAGCAAAAAAAAAAAAAATCAGTTACCACTGGTCAGGTGCATGTGACGCACGAGTCTGGCCCCAGTCCTCACGATGGGATTCTCCTGTTTTACCCTGGCTACACTGCCTACGATCCAGCATGCAGGGACCTCATCGAGCACAAAGCTACAGGTGCTGATTAATGCTGTGGATCTTACAGCAGCAGCAGCAGCCATCAACGGAAGGTCCAGAAAAGGCAGACATCTTTGCTGCCCAGAGAAATGGGGAGATGTTATCAGAGTTGTAAACTGGTGAAGGGCATGCAGCTTTGCCCAGGCACCTGCCACTAAGAGCTATAGTAGCGAGGCAGGCGCTACGCTCAGGCCACTTCTAACCCTCACAGCGACTGTAAGAGGCGGGAGCTAGTACGATGCGCATTTTCCAGACGGGGAAGCTAGAGACTAGAGAGGTGTGTGACCCCCAGGGTTCGTATCTGGGCAGGTCGCTTTCAGAGTCCGGGCTCTAAACTAATAAATACCCGGTCCTGCATCTCACTGACAGGCAGGAGCTGTGCACCAGCCCGTGCTTCTCCCTGGGATGCTGGCTCAGTGCAGTGTGGGTGGGAAGAGATCCTGAAGACAGCGGTTTGAGGGGACCGTGTGGGGCGCTCTCTCGGACAATACCTCCTGCTGAGACCCTGCGGCTTCCCTCCATCAGGGCAGGGGACGGAATCCCCGGGCACTCACTGTCCAGGTCAGCAGCTTTGCTTGTACCTTCACGCGTTTCCCCACTTGATTTCACACACAATTTCTAAGGTAGCCAAAGACGCGGCAACTTCACGAATGGAGCTAACAGAAGGCTCCTTCTGGTCTGTCAAGGATGACTGCAGGAAGACCATGTTTTAAATGACACAGGGACCAGGGTGGAACAGCACGTGGTACAGAGAGTCTGGCTTACACAAACGTTTCACCAGTCAGTGGAGGGTGTCAGTGTGACCTAGGTTTCCAAACCACCCCGTCGTTGCCAGAACTACAGAAACCTGAGGAAATGTAAACCATGTAGGTTAATGAGAACTGTAAAACACACCTTCGATTCTAGTAGGGGATCGGAGAGCCTACTGGTGACCTTTATGCCTGAGAAGCAGGAGCATCTCAAGTACCCCTGGGCTGGGCCGTGTGGTAGGTAGGGTCCCACCCACAGGCCCGGAGAGACCATGTCTGAGGCCACCACAACATCCTGACGTTGCTGATGCCACAGGGTGACATCTCGTTATGAAAATACAATAATCAAATCAATTGTCAATAATTTCCATTACACAATCATTTCCATCAAGCAATCACGTTGACGATGAGAGCCTAGGAGAAAACCAAATTGGTTTCAGCTCATACGGCCTTTCTGGTGCTTGTCTGTAAGCGGTAAATGCTGTCAGGTTCAAACTTAATTACCTGCCCTGCTGTTCCAGAGGCTGAAAATGGGCAGGTCAGTAACAGAATTATAAATCCTCCCTTCTGACAAGCCACCAAATATTTTTCAACGTAATGGCAAGGCAAAATGGAGCCCCTGAAATGTGTCATAGAAGATGAGGCAAAAATCTATATTCCGTTATTAGAAAAGGAAAATCTATACACCTGACACTGTTAGAGCCTGCTCTCTACATGATGATTAACTGCAGTATACTGAAGACTGCCCTTACCCCTGTAAAATAGCTATTCCCAGGGCACCTGGGTGGCTCAGTCGGCTAAGTGTCTGACTCCGGCTCAGGTCATGATCTCACGGTTTGTGGGTTTGAGCCCTGCATTGAGCTCTGTGCTGACAGCTAACTCAAGCCTGGAGCCTGCTACCGATTCTGTGTCTCCCTTTCTCTCTGACCCTCCCTTGCTCATGCTGCCTCTCTTTCTCTCTCAGAAATAAACACTAAAAAAATTTTTAAAAAAGTTATTCCTATTTAAACTTTTACTTAAAAATGTTTCTTCAAAATATTCACTTATTTTTGAGAGAGACAATGTGTGAGCAGGGGAGGGGCAGAAAGAGAGGGAGACACAGAATCTGAAGCAGGCTCCAGGCTCTGAGCGGTCAGCACAGAGCACGATGTGAGGCTCAAACCCATGAACTGTGAGATCATGACCTGAGTTGAAGTCAGAGGCTTAATCAACTGAGCCACGCAGTGCCTCTAACTATACCCATTTAAATAAGAAGGAAAGGGACAAGCGTGTGCCATAGCCATGGACAGGCGTGCCGCCACCGGAGCCTGAAGCCCGGGGACTAGAACGACAGCTCTGGTGAAAGCCTACAGTGGCTCAAGGTCCCCCGTGTGGGGGCTGGGCCAGAGCTGCCAGCACTCAAGTGGACACCAGTTTTTGTTGTCCTCCTGAAATAAAGGAGACTTGATTTCTCAAAGATACATCCTTTTAAGAAACGAGAGACCGCTGATCGTTGGGTTAGAATTGTTTGGAAGGATGTAACGTGAAGAGTACCACAGAGGCCATGGTGAGAACAGAGCTTGGCCTCTGGGCGCGTCACATCAAAGCGGGAGAGAGGGCAGAGACTGCCTGGCAAGAAATGCACCAGAAGAAGTAAGGTGAGCATGCGGGGGTGGCTGGGTCACAAAGGCTCATCGGGAAAGGTATACGGAGGAGGACTTGGTTCCTGAAAAGTAAAGTGACCCACACATACCACTGGATATCTGGAGGACAGTGATTTTTTTTTAAAGGTTTGTTTATTTTTGAGAGAGAGGGAGGGAGAGAGAAAGTGAGAGAGACTGTAAGCGGGGAAGGAGCAGAGAGAGGGAGACACAGAATCTGAAGCAGGCTCCAGGCTCTGAGCTGTCAGCACAGAGCCCGACACGGGGCTCGAACTCACAAAACTTGAGATCATGACCTGAGCTGAAGTCAGACGCTTAACCGAAAGAGCCTCCCAAGTGCCCTAGGGCAGCCATTTTTTATTTTATTATTTATTTGTTTATTTGTTTATTTGTTTATTTATTATTTTTACAAATAGTTTATTGTCAAGTTGGTTTCCAGCAGTCATTTTTTAAACATGAATTGCAACCCTGCAGGCAGCTCACAAGAAGCATTTTTAAAAACTTAAATAGAATCAGGGCCGCCTAGGGGACTCCATCAGTTAAACGTCTGCTTCTTGATTTCCGCTCAGGTCATGATCCCCAGGTTGTGAGACAGAGCTTCATGTCAGGCTCTGCGCTTGGCTTAGAGGCTGCTCAGGATTCTCGCTCTCCCTCTGCTCCTCCCCCACACTGACACACACACTCTCTCTCAAAAAATAAATTAAATATGAGATAGAAAACATTAGTGCCTCACATGAACATACAGTTTCAAGAAAAGTTTCTGTTAACACACGTGTAAGAACATGTCCTGAGCTGTGACCTGAAATTAATTTTTGTGTGTTGCCAAATCCCAAGTTTAAAAGCCACTCAACCACATTAAGTGGAAACCATCCAGTACTATA